TTGACCTGCGACGGTGTCTTTTCTTGAACAGAGATACTATGCCCTTGTTCGACACTGAACGATGGACGAAGAACTTGGAGAAGGCGTATCGGATGGCTTGGAGGCGGTGGGTGGATGGCTCTATGTTTAGGATGAGTGACGATGGTTGTATCTGGGTCAAGGACGATATTGATATTCCCATCCGTATGGACTGATATCCCATCCTGTGCAATGAATTACTCACGTATGCGATATGCGCTCGCTAAATGGTATGTAGGATGTAGGATGACTGGCAGTACGATGTTGATTCACAGATAGGTATGGATTATGATCATGCGCGTCAGTTACGTGTAGTTGATCTAATGTTCTTGATCGCGGTATACTGGCAGTTGTTACTGAGCAGCGGGGGGTTGTGACCCTCTGAACGGAACATTTGCTTCCGCTCCTCGACCTCAAGACCTTCCAGATTGAGCACATTCCGATCAATATAGCGACCACATCACAAAATCACAATCAATTTTCTAATCGAACTTTAATCGATTCTTTCATCTTGAACTTTACCATCGTCCACCACGTTCTTGCCATCGTAACCAGCCCTTGTAATTGTGATGATCTGGATTAGTTTCTGAATCATAGTATGACGGACGCGATCTGAATGTACGCGTGCAGCCTGGTAGGGCCGATTGCGACTCTGCGCGAGCGATAGGACTGGGTGGGGCAGCGTTCAACAGATCTAGTTTGATATCCGGAAGACTCAGGAAGATGACCTGCGAACATAATCAGGCCTACGATGTGCGGATCTCGTTGTGTTCTACCGTTGACTGATCGACCTACATTTGCTTTCCAGACTACTAGTACTTTATGAGCGCTAAGTACTGAGTACTGAGTACTGAAGTGCGAGCTGCTGATGAGGCACAACGTGACTGTGTAGTTTAACCACCACTGGTCCACGAGTCATCTTGGAATCTGGCTCTGACTCATATCAACTGTATCGCCACTCTCGTATATCATCACAACATCTCGGAATCCATATTTTTTTTTCGCACCACCCACAGGGAAAGCCTCAAGAATTCAGGTCATAAATACTGATACAAAAACTACACACTCGCCAGCACTGCGGCAGCATAAAGACCATATAGTAAGAGACATAGTATGCGAATTCACTGACTCTTCCGAGCCGTGCATGCAGAAGCTAACGTAAACGACGGTATCGTACAGGGCATCCAAGGCTGCTGCCGAAGCCCGGAGGCCGGTTGACGGCCAAAACTCGAATCACAAGAAGGTCGCAAAAGAAACTGGAAATTTGTCCCAAGGGTCAATTGAGCAAGCATGGAAATGCTAACCAAGAGATGAGCACTCGTCAGGAAATCCTGCCAGGACGGCGCCTCACCAATCAAGCAGACGCACTGAGACCCATCGCTCGGGCTCCTGCGCCGACACCACCTTCCCATCCAAAGAACCGTTCATTCTTCGGTACAGAGCCCGTGCCACTGTAGCTTTCATCGTCCATTTCTATCTCGGACCACTCTTCGTCATCCCATCTCATACGTGCGTTCTTCGTGTGCGCCCAGACGGAGATGAACACTATTCGTTTCAACTTGGGGTTGAGGAAGAACCAGTGCGAGGACCACAGCAGTGCACCACAGCGCCGCTTTAATCGCACATGCGCAAAGTTATTGCGCTCGGGCGATTCGCCACTACTCGTACTGCCGCTGTTGTACCGGAATGGTATACGATTTCGCAGGGACACGGAAGTGGGTCTTGAGCTGCTAGGATCCGGGAAGAACTCGTCGACGTCATAGTCATCAAACTCAAAAGGGGGTTCATCGTCTGGGTCATCTGACGAATCCTCGTCTGCAACAGACGCGATATCATCCTCGTCGTCAGAGTCGTTGGCGTGGGGATCAGAATCGATATCTGGGGAGTATGAGAAGACTTGGCAATCTGCAAGACCGATGACCTCATCCAATATACGATACAAGGTCGGGTGTGTGCCAGAGACTATCTGAGGAGGTGCATAGGGGCTTGGCACCATGTGGTGCAGAGGTGACGACGAGGTGGTTGGGACAGAAGAAGGGAAGAAAGTGGACGACGTGGGAGGATAAGCTGAGTATGTGCGTGGCGCGCTCATGCCGGCACGGTGAGGAGATAGGAGGGTTGTGCTGAGCGAATTAAGCACGCTCGCGCCGTTCTTCTCTTTGTTAAAGTGTGCGGGTCTGACATCTGAGAATTCGTGGTCAGGGAATGCGATGTTGAGGGTGGCTATAAGAAGGTAGAGTGTCTTGCGAGAAGCCTGCTTGTCCATAGGGCCAAACGGGGTGAGCTCAGGCTCGCGGTCAAGCCATGAAGGAAGTGGCGGTGAATGGGAGAGATCGTCGTTGTAGGCGTGTTCAAGAGTTTTGAAGAGTTTCTTGTCGCGCTTGATGTTCTTGCAGCTATATGCTTCAATGCGAGTGTGCACGGAGCATTCTGGGCCCTCATGAGTGAGCGCTTGGGAGAGGCGTGATAACTCAGGAAATTCTATGTATTTCATAGTCGTGAGGGACACTAGTTGGTTGTCGTCGGCCGCGCGAAGAAACAATGGAGCGAGTGAAGTACTAGTGGCTTGGCGAGCGGTGTGTAAGCGTTTGCTTCCTTTCTGGATGCACAGCTTCTCAATTCTAAATTCTATTATTATATTATGCTTTGACCGAACTGGGGGGGCAGTAATACCCGAACAGCGACAGCAGCCATTTGTTCTGCAGACAAGCACAAAATTCGAACGAAAACGAATAGAATGATAACAAGTTCACTCTTTTTCTTTCGCAATCCGTCAGACTGCCACATGACCGAGGTGATCGCACATTTCGAAACGTTTCTAAAGCATGGCCTTTTGATCCACTAGGTTGCTGCCAGGAGTATCATGTGAAAACACCTGCGCAGCATTGCCTATAAGGAGGATTCCACGATTGACACCTCGAAGTTAGGGAAATGCTTGCACGACGTGCATGTACGTGGGTGTGAAACATAGGACGATGCACATGCATGGTCGAGTGAACGTGCACATTATTTGCGGAAGAATTCACGACCACGGGTGTAATCGACCATGCCGCCGCGGGCGGAACAAACAGGTGCCCGCGATAACCATATCTACAGCTAATGTATGCAGAGATCGTGAGTGAGCCGGAGAAACGAGACACACCTTCATTGAGAAATTCATATGCTGCTCGTAGCCCGAGTCTAGAACGCTGTTAATTTAGATTTGGCTACAGACATTTCGGCGCCTCGAAACATCTGAGACTTGAAAGAGAGACCGTCGAGGGGATCACTGGTGTTACAGTCTGGATGATTGACGCTGCGGATGTTCCTAGCCTAGGTCTCAGTTCATCTGTGACGTATATGTAAGCTGGCACAAACGTGTCAGCTGTACTTAGTCATGCGGCAATGTCCGGAGGCGGAACTAACAGGCACCCATAAATTTGCTTCCTGCCCATAACCACCAACCACCAACCACAGTCTTCAGTCTTTGTCTACTCAAACCCAAAGCCCACAACCTACAAATTTCGCGGTCTTCCCCTAGCCCACGATTGCTTCTCAAACCCAAACTTTTTCTATCTTCTGTCCCACTCGAGGAGAACACAGAAGACTTTATTTCATGCTTCGACCTCCACTCAATATATCGGCAAATACGTGTTTGTTTCGGAGAAAGTCCATAAGTACTGTACGTCGTTTCCATCATCCATGGCATGCTGTCGATTGACTAGGTCGTACTCTAGCGTTAAATATATCTGCCCAGTATGGCTTCCGCAGGAATTGTGAATATTCGTCGCGATGTCGATGACAAGTTCTACCGTTACCGTATGCCCCTCCTTCTCACGAAGATTGAAGGCAAAGGCAATGGTATCAAAACCGTCGTCCCCAACATGGCAGATGTCGCTCGTGCTTTATCTCGCCCTCCCACTTACCCTACCAAATTCTTCGGCTGTGAGCTCGGTGCACAGACCTCCTCTGATGACAAGAATGAACGCTACATCGTTAACGGCGCTCATGACGCTTCTCGCCTCAGGGAACTGCTTGACGTCTTCATTGACAAATTTGTCCTTTGTCGTTCATGCAAGAACCCTGAGACAGACCTTATCATCCTCAAGAGTGGTCGCAACGAGGATATCGTCAGGGATTGCAAAGCTTGTGGTGAAAGGACCGACGTCGACATGAAGCACAAGCTCGTCACCTTCATTCTGAAGAACCCGCCCAAGAACCCCAAGAAGAGCAAGAAGGGGGCCAAAGGCGAGGCAAACGGAAATGGTGGTGGAGTGCACGCATCAGCTCCATCTGTTCCTGGGGACGATAACACTGGCGGTTCTGGTGGTGATAGCGACGACGAGCTTACCAAGAAGATCAAAGCCGAAGCCGCTGAGCTTACTACAGAAACCAAGCTTGCAGCTCAAGATTGGTCTGCTGATACATCTCCCGAGGCTGTCAAGGCTCGCGCTAAGGCATTGGAAGGCCAGGTTGGCGGACTATCACTTACGCCTGCTGGCGGCTTGGGTGATGATGAGGGCAGTGATGACGATGTGAACAGCCCTTACGCCCAGTTTGGTCGTTGGGTTGAAGAGAACAAGAGCGATGCAGGCGTTAGTGCTGTGCAGATCTATCAGAAGGCCCAAGAATTTGGCGTCGAGAAGAAACACAAGACTGTCCTCGTTCTTGTTCAAGCGCTATTCACCGAGGAGGTTGCGAAAGAGATCGATACGTACAAGGCCCTGCTTGCAAAGGTTCGTTCTCTTTCTAATATACGTGGGTCTTGCTAACTTAGCGTGTAGATGGTTACCTCCGAGAAGCACCAGAAAGCTCTTTTGGGTGGAATCGAGCGCCTCGTCGGGCTTGCTCACCCCGAGCTCATCCCTTCCGTACCAAAAATTCTCATGGCCTTGTACCAGATCGACGTCTTGGAAGAAGGTGTGGTGACTCAGTGGGGTACTCATGTCAGCAAGAAGTACGTCGATAAGGAGACGAGCAAGAAAGTGAGGAAGGCCAGCGAGCCGTTCTTGAAGTGGCTTGAGGATGCAGATGATGACGAATCTGAGTGATGGGTGAATATGTAGTTCTCATTTATGTTTCTGTTTTTACTTTTCTTATCTTGTCGTTTGCTCGGTGTAACATACTAGGTTTGCTTATCAATTTTTGGTCCAGGCTCCTGTTGAGAATTTATAAGCCCCTGTGCTGGTTTATAAGGCTTCCTGTAAGCTCCACAACTCGTTCTTTCGATAGTCATGTCATCCGCAGCACCTCCATTTGCTCCACCTCACATCGAGTCCTCCGTGAAGCGTGTGAGGGTGCTTTTCGGGGGAAAGTATGTAGTAGACACGAAGCATGCAAAACTTGTGTAAGTCCCCTGTCCACAGCCAACATCGTGCATTCACTAATGCTGATTTAATATATATAGCTGGGAGAAACCTTTCTACCCAATCTATTTCTTCTCCACATCCGACTTGAACCCTTCGTACCTCCGCGAATCTTCTGATAACAAAGAGCGTGGAACGAAAGTTTACGACTTGGTCGTCGGTAAACACGAAGCAAGGGACGCTGTGACTGTGTTCACAAATCAAGCAAGTGACACCAAGGATTTGGCCGGGTTACTCAAGATCGAGTTCTCAGCTGCTGATGCGTGGCTTGAAGAGGATGAGCGGGTTTACGTTCATCCCAAGGACCCTTACAAGGTCAGTCCCCCCTCATCCCCACTCGCACGATTGAGCGCCAATAAACGATGGCAACCCAAAGCGCGTAGACGTATTACAATCTTCTCGCCACGTACGCGTCGCGGTCAATGGTGCCGAACTCGCATCGACGAATCGCCCTCGTTTGTTATTCGAAACGGGGCTTCGAGTGAGGACGTATATGCCTCTTACGGATGTCCACATCGAGCTTCTCAGGCCGTCTGATACAGTCACGGAGTGTCCTTACAAGGTGGGTTTCCCCATTCATCGATCATACCGTGTTGTTGGACTGACATCGCATTGCTCGATAGGGGGTAGCAAATTATTACAACGTTCAACTGCCGAACGGGGATGTACACAAGGACGTCGTGTGGTACTACCGTACTGCGCAGCCTGAGTGTGGTCAGATGACGGGTTACGTCGCTTTCTACGATGAAAAGGTTGATGTCTGGGTTGACGGTGAAAAGCAAGAATGATTTGTGAGGGTGGTTAGTGATAAATTCGGAGGGGTACATACTGCTCCCTACTTATGTTTGACGAAGGGATGTACTACTAGAGGCCCCCGGGCTGTTGATGTTGTTTTATTTGTCGTTATTACATCAGCTTTATGATCTAACTTGCTCATCAAATTATTGGCGCCTGAAAGCCTGAAGCTCTGAAGGCAGGCTGTGCACGAAGGAACATCTCCAGGGTCATCTCAGCTGCCAGTCTGAAGCTGGTCACGTTGCCTCGTTATTGCCCAATGCCCATTGATTCAATTATATCTATCGTTCTTTTACGTTCCCCGGAAAGCGTGCGGTGGTTATCCGTATTCAATCCATCCAGTGTACGAACTCCCCAAAGATCCCAGCCTCCTTCCAGACTCTGGGCAAGTCTGTTTATGACTTCGTCACCTTTTCTGTGACACCCCAGAACAATTTTGTCCTCTTCCTCGAAATCAAAGCCTCCTGGTCATCTCAATGAGCACATACTGGCCTGTACTATCTTCATTTCGACGTCAAGTCTTTGATAACATTAGTTGCATATATTGATAATCTCCTCTGTGCAATGCTTCTCGAGTAACATTAAAGGTAGTAGCCTCAACGTGAATATTACAATTATTTAATAAGGTCACTCACATTCCCCTCGGCATTAATGTTCAAACTAAACTTTATAGTATGCAAGTTTCCATAGTTTGGGTGCGAAAATTGCTGTTTATCTGTTATGTCAGGCACTTTAGTTAGAGACGAGGCTCGATGGTCAAGCTTAAGGACAGTAGCGAAGGATGGATACTGCCTACATTTTTCCAGGCAAGTATTGCAACAGCTGCACATGCTAGATACACCACCATCCAGCGCCTTTGTGGCCAAAGTGAGCATCATGGACTTGTCCGTGTGGTCATTGGAGATGACGCTATTGGTTATATGGGATTTACGAGGGTGTTGCGCCTCCTGCTTCTCAAGCAGAAGTAACATGATGGGTTGTCATAAAAGGCGATACGCTGAAGGGAGATGAGAATGGGAGGGAGAATAGGACAGCCCAATCAGACACCAACTATATGAGTTAGTAAAAATGAAACGCAACATTTACGATTCAACCAACTTGCAGAGAGAAAAGCGTTTTCGTGGCAAGCCTGTTCTCGAGTGCGTGTTGGTCCAGACTGCGAGTTCATGAATCTAGAGATCTACAAGAGCTATCATTAAAACAAGAGATAGTCATAGCGAGACACTCGTGGCGTCAACGGATACATGGCCGGTGACTTGGATGGCAAGGAACAGGAGCAATAGAACTCACTCTTTTGGAGATCGTTGGAAAAGCCGTTCATCTCTATGAAATTTCCACACGAGCTTGACACCAGCAAGATATCAAGGAGCCACGTCAAGAGATATCGGGTTGCCACGGCGCATTATATTTCTTAGTCGAACGCACAGCAGATGGATGTTTTTGGGCTGACCGCCCTTTACTGCCTGTGGATAAAAGCTTCAGCTCAATAACAAAGAACATCATCCAGACCTATCCTCAAGTGCAACAATGAAGTTCATCTCACTCACCACTATGATTATGTCTGCCACAGTACTGGCGGGCATCGTCACAGCACGAGACCCCATGGGCTTCCCATGCATCCCGGCTGGTAAATATCTTCGGCGTACCCTGTTTTGATCTCAGACCGCATACTTACGGCTTCTTGTAGAACAGTATGGGTGCGGATGGCTCAGGGGTTATAACCATGACTTTGCGTATTTGTATTTCGGTTCAGCAGACAGCACTATCGTGTCTGTCCAGAATTGCAACTGTGTAAACTGCTGTACAGTCATCAAAGGAGGTGTAGGTTCCGGCGGGTCCTACAGCTGCACATAAGAGATAACGGTAAGCCCAATTCTTGCTTGCTGTGTCCATGATATCATAGTCAAACGGCATAGCTGTCTCTGTAACTGGTGGTACTGGTTGGCACTGGGGGAATAGGGCTGGGAGTTTGGGCTGTAGACTCGGAAATTAATATGTTGTTGAGGCTCAAGAACATATTCAAGACTGTACGATGCAGCGCTGAATAATGAAGGGATCACTGATGCGGAGTAGGTTCATATGTAACCACTGAGATCATGTGAAAGGTCGGGAACCAAACACCCCGCATCATATCTGGCACAAACAGGGCAGACAAGGGGATCGGACCATTGGGAGCCAACGTAATAATCGCCTAGATATCGGAGGATCGCATCCTGAGGGACCACGGATGGCGGCGGCTAGCCACGCCTGCTCGCGGGCAAAATCATGAAGAGCATGTACAGCGGCAAGGGACTCTTGTTTCACAGCGGTCCGACTTCGTTGTACCTTTTCAAATTCATTCCTCGGTTCTGATTTGCGGAGGCCAACGCGCTAGAGAGATAGTCTATGATAGTAGACCCGAACTCGGAACATAATGTGCGGCGCACGATCTCGCCAACCGTGAACCAAGAGACATCGAGCCATATAGGACCCACGACCGAATAATCATTAAGATATCGGCGTTTGCGGAAGAGTAGATCATCCGATTGCTCAAATTCATTCGTCACGGCATTCAAGTTCGGGTGCAATTGACCCTTAATTGCTACGTACGTCTACGTATACACTTAGCTTGCAAGTTTCATATGATTATTGTTATTCTCTCATAAGACAGCAATATTATCTTTCATACCATCATCCATATTCCATGTCTGACATCAAAGTTGACGGTTTCAAGGTCACTGAATAAGCCCATTCTTGTTGCTGTCTTCGCTTACCAGCTGGGAACATGCCTTCAGGCCTCAGACGTCATCGTCAACCTTCACACTGCATTCGACAGTTTCACCGATGCACAGAGACAAGCGCAAGTAAAGAAAGTGCGTACATCGAATCACATACCTTATTACTCGTGTGACACAATGCTTTATAGACCAAGGGCATCTTCGAGCTCCGAATTACGAACGACGACAAGAAGGAGGCCGTCTGGACAATCGACTTGAAAAAGAAGGGTGCCATTCTGAAGGGACTAGCCTCGCCCAAAGCGGACGTCACACTCATCATGTCGGATGATACGTTCTCGCAGCTTGCTTCAGGCAAGGTTTGTATTATAGCGGTCCATTCAGATGTCAATCACTAATACGTGGCACACTAGATGGATGGTCAGAAAGCTTTCCTCACTGGCAAGCTGAAGGCAAAGGGTAATATCATGTTGGCCACGAAACTCGCCGCCGTCCTTCAGGTGAACAAATTATATTGCTGTAATTAAAGCCATGACTGACTTGTTTCCTAGATGGCCAAGGACAAGGCAAAACTGTAGAGTTGTGTCTACCACTTATGCTTGTACTTTGGGCAATGAATATCATCCTTCCGTATTGCGACGTATAGATGTGGAGTGGTGATTATTACATATATGAACATGTCCATACAAGCTAGGAAAGTGGAAGGTCTGAATATTGAGCTTAAAACATCCCTCCAAAAAGCCCACGTTGTCGACGTGGCGCGGGTTGAGTATCTGTCCGAAGAGTCGACAAGCTATTTAGCTGTTTCATAACCTGACAGCGTCATCAGTCGAATGTGTGGGAAATACTATCGTTTTACTCACTTCCTCGAGTTTATCCTTACGTTCTTGTAAGTCGAGGTGGCGCTTGACAATAGGGTTCTCTCTAGCAAATTCCTCAATCTCCTTGCGGTCGAGGTCGTATATTAGACGTGAATCAATCCCTCGGGGGAGCTGAACATACACCATCAGTACATGGTTCACCATTAATCTGATAAGGTCACCTGATCGAAGAAGTGGTCCAACAATTCGATGTTGATGAACATCGTGGAGGTATACGCAAGCTTGTCGGCAACCACGTTCAGGAAGACTTCAGGACATAGCACATCGCTCTCGGGGCCTGCTTTACACCGCTTTGACTTGAGCGTGGCCAGGCGAAGCTTAAGAATGGACAACCTGTCACTGTACAACATAGCATGTCGAGCTGTGAATGCATCATTAGCGTGCAGTCCATCAATCCGTCGTAGAATCCCACCATCAAGAATTTGCCCTGGGGGATACCGATACGACTCAGGCTCCGACTCCTCTTGTACATCCTCTTCTCCTGCCAACCGTCTGTTTTTCCTCTCTCTTACCTGCTCCTCCAAGCCCCGGACATAACCCAAGAGGCTACTGAGCCTTCGACCCCCACCAACCTTCTTCCTGATCTCCTTCAGCTTGCTCTCGCACATCGCTATCTCCATCTGAAATAGCTCCGCTGCGCGCCCACGTCCCTGCTCCCACTCCCGCTCATCAACGTCTACCTCGTACTTGAACGGCTTAATGCAGTTTTTCAACCTGGTCCGACGTCACGCCAATGCGCTCCCGCAATATCATATGTGAGAACTGCACCAATCTTTCAGCTGCTCGAGGGTGGTGTGTGAAAGGGTCTCCGGACACAATCGAATCAATAAGAGCACGCAGGCCGTCAGCAACAAGAAGAGTGGAGTCGCGGCCAACACCAGATTTCGTGAGTAGAGAAGATGCCGCCTCAAGCTTATGTCGCCAATATGGTTCCACATCCTGAGGCTTCACCTTGGAGTCCGCGGCAAGCGCACCGAGCTCCGGCGTCCGTTTGTCTAGCCAATACAGTTGTTCAAGCACGTCCATCACCTTCTCGTCCAGCATCATCTTTAGCTTCTCACGCACTTGCGGCTTCCGGAACTGCGTAGTGAAGTCTTTGAATCGAGATTTCAGTGTGTCCACCGTTTCGGCGACGTACGACTCGGCGGTGATGCGCCGGTCGTTGTATTGTACTTTGAACTGGTAGGTAGCCTCTTCGAGCTCGAGCTGCACCGCATTGGTGATCCCATGCAGCGAAGACGCCATGGAAGATTCGAGCACTTCCATCAGACGCCGCCGGAGAGTATCAGTGCCGACCATCAGTGAGGATGGAGCGCCAAAGTAATCACGGTGGTTGCCAAAGTAATCATTCTCGCTCCGTTTCGCAACGGCGCCTGCGGACTGCGACGAGGATGTCTTCCCTGCTGATTTGGCAACGACGCCCACATATCCTAGGTGCAAGGGGTAGCGGTTCCCTGCAAGGATCGTCGCACCCTGTTCAGGTGGCACCAAATCCATCTTGGTGATAACGCCAATTGTCCGCAAGCCCAAGGGGTCAACCTTTCGGCTCGCTCGTAAGGCGGGAGAATTTGCCAAATCTACGTCGGCTGCGCAGACTGCGAGGATGATATTGGGCTCCCGAATGTACCGCTCACATAGACCTGCGATTTTTTCCTTGAGTGTTTCTGGCTGGTCCATGGATGAGATCTGTACGTAGCCAGGTAGATCGATGAGGGTGAGGTCAGGAACGTTGGGACTGTAGATGCGGAGGTCAATGGCGTCATTAGAGACGGCTTCGGAAGAGGGGACGGCAAGGTTGAGGTCAGTCAGGGTTTGCTGAATGTGGGCGAAGTTGGTGATCTTCCCCAGCCCAAGAGCTGGGAACTCGCCGTATTCTTCAGGAGTCTTGCCATCAGCCTTGGCGGGTGTATGGACTAGAGTGAGTTCTATAGGACGGCGGGTGACCATGTTATTGCCTCTGCATCACCATCAGCACAATCTTAACTAATGATTATAATTCCTCACTTTGGCAAAAACTCGTGCCCCACAATAGCTTCTAGTACTGAGCTCTTTCCTGAGCTCTGGCTGCCAATAACGACAATGCTTGGGAGTTTCAGCGCATCGCTCTGGTCAATGCTTAGCAACATGCTTCTGATCTCAATAAGCTTCCTCGTGAGATGCATAAGCTGATTCTGTCTTTGATCAACATTTCCGTCGGCCTCATTAGATGCCTTTGAATCTGACGGGGAAGACATAGTTGCAGCAATGAGAGTTGCTATAGCGGCATTCTCTTCTGGCAATCGTCGGTTCGAGGACTCCCCCTGTGAATTCTCTTCTCGCGACTTTTCACCGTTCTCAACAGATGCGAAGAGATCCTTGAGAAACTGAGGCGTTTCGATGTCTGGTAATTGGACCGCAGACACACGAGACGCGACCGACTTGATGCCGTCCGAAGCCGAGTCTATAAAATCTGTGGCTGCGTCTTGGACAGACGACAGCCAAGCAGTCGACTGATTGCGCAGTTCTGTCGCAATAAGATAAACGCACAGGAGTCGTATTTATGTACGAGAACTTACCTTCAAACTTGTAATTGGCGTAACCAAGCCCGCCAGCGCCAAGAGCTGCACCAGCTATCGGTACACGAAATGCTCGGGCAACAAATCGAGGTATAGAAGAGTATGAAATGGCGCGGACGTGGAGGTTACGCAAGGCGGCAGGGGTTTGGGATGCATACCGTTGTCGCAGGCGGACAGAGCCTTGTGAGGATGTCAACAGCGTGCCAAATTGGCGGTGCACGGGCCTATACGATTCAGCAGCATTTCTGCTGGCAGTAAGGCCATATGTTACGACCTTCCTGGGTAACAAGGCGGCAGATATACGAGGGCGGAACGAAGAGTACATAACGTGTCGATGATGCTGCAATCCTGGGCTTAAAGAAAGTAAATGGAATGCAGATGACAGGATCGACAGCCCCCCTTGCCACGTCTGGCCTTGTTACAAGCCACAATTTTGAGGAAAATACCGAGTTAATAGTCGAGACTCGGGTTGGACGTTTGATTTTAAGTATAATAGCTTCAAGAACGGTCTGCGGACTACATATATCACGTGATAAATGCTGAGTCAGCGTGTTGCTCTGGACCTTTAACCTAACTCGATGTTGAGTACTATAAACACATCGCCGGCCCGTTCCCCCAGCCGACCGTATCACCAATTGTGCTCTCGGAGCTCCGCCAGAGGATGATGATGTCGCGAGACCGATCCCATATAACTGCTAGAGCAGCCATTGTTTCCTTTCGCTAACCTGATCGATTGATTTCTGCAACATGCCAGCTGCGGTACCCCCTTCCGGAATTTACGTGCCTGCTGTCTTGTTCTTCAAAGAGAATGAGGACTTTGACGTCCCTGCTATAAAGTCTCATGTTTTACGGCTCGCTCAGGTGCGAACAACCTTATGACTCCCTGATGTCAGTCGATAATATTGCAATCTGCACAGGGAGGCGTTACAGGTATCGTCGTGCAGGGAAGCAATGGAGAGGCTCAACACTTGTCGCACGACGAGCGTAAAGAGGCAATCAGCCTTACTCGCAAGACGTTGGATGAAAATGGCTTCCAGAATGTTGTTATCATTGCAGGCTGCGGTGCTCAATCTGCACGAGAGACGAAGAAGCTCTGCGCAGATGCGAAGGATGCTGGTGCTGCCTTTGTACTCGTGTTGACACCTTCCGTCTGGCCTGGAGACATGACGAAAGAGAACATCATTCGTTACCACCGTGAAGTAAGCCTTCCATAAAATTGACTGGACTGAGTCGCCAACTTCCCTGAATTTGTAGGTTGCAGATTATTCACCTTTGCCATACATGGTGTACAACTTCCCAACCGTCACTGCCGGCATTGACCTGGACTCCGATATCATCCTCACACTCTCAGAGCACCCTAACATTGTGGGCACTAAGTTATCTTGCGGAAACGTTGGAAAGCTCCACCGAATCACTTCTGTCAAGCCGCCTTCCGAATTCTGCACTCTCGCTGGTGTATCAGAGGTGCTCTTGCAAGGACTCCTCTCCGGAAGTGCTGGCGCAATTGCTGCGCTCCCGAACCTCGTGCCTAAGCTACACATGAAGATGTACGCACTTTATCAGGCAGGAAAGATCGACGAGGCCATGAAAATCCAGGCTCAGCTAGGTCAGGGAGATTGGGCAACGCGCAAGGCTGGAGGAGTTGGTGCTATGAAGACATTGATATCGAAGCATTTCGGATATGGAGAAATTCACGTTCGACGGCCGCTCATGGCTGTTCCACAACTTAGCGGTACGTATGTCGATAAACTGGAGGAGCTGATTGCCAGTGAGAAGATGCTGTAGGATATAACATGCTTTGTATTATGATTATCGCATGCATAGTGGCACAGTCCAAATTTGCCTATCCATCATGAAAACACACGGCGCGTCGTCCATGTGAATTTAATGTCATTAATCCCTCAAGAGCCGATATCAGGTGCTCCTCGGCACTTGCATTTGTCTTGCCTCATCGCTAACTGTTCTCAAGCCTTCCTTCTCCATGTTCACCATCAATCACCAGGTGCATAGCGTCCGCATTGTGGGATGGCACGAATCATGGGGGTAGACCTCGTGCGTTCCTTTTCAGTTCCGACGACTCTCATAGTGATGCCGGCGGTCCGGTTTACACAATTGCGTGTCATTTTGTCGATCAGCCCTTCTCAGCACCTGCCACGAAAGGACGATTCCCGACCCCATAGCAAACAAAATGTAATGCGTTCTTTTACTCGTGAACTAGAGTCTACCTAGGGAGATCAATGGAAGGAAGACGGTCGATCCTTCTGCAGTGCCAGGCTCATGGGTCATGACTCTTTCACGAGGGGTGCATGAATCGGTGGCTCAAGAACTTTAAAACAATCCTTTGAACGGCGAAACCTCGCGCTACCCATCGTCTGGTTAATTTTAATCGCAAGCAATTTTCGATGCAAAAGTTTTTCCGCTTCCCCCCTGTAGGCCTCTAAAAGTCGAGTCGAGGAATATGTTGTTGTCCCCACCACAGCTGAGATTGCAACATGAAACTCCAGGCAAGCCTTCTTACTTTGGCTTTGGCCACTGTCTCGGTGAGTGGGTTGATCACATCGTCTTGGCATTTGACTGACAGCATCTTGAGTTATCTAAACCTACGGCGAGGCAATCGACCTCATTCGTGAAGGCTGATGGCCAAAGCTTCACCCTCGATGGTCAACCGTACACTGTCTTTGGGTGCGCAGAAAAGCCATCATGTATACTCAGGTTCTCAAAAAGTCGTGTTGCAGCTCCAACTCCTACTGGGTTGGCTTGACTGGTCTCACCACCGATGAAATGGATGTCACATTTCAGGACATTGTCGAAACCGGTGGGACTACTGTCCGAACATGGTTTGTAGCTGAGTTTATGTGAAAAGACAGTCTCCTGACAAGGCCTTGTCAGGGGCTTTAACGAAGTCACCTCCGCCAGTGGCGACTACTACCAGCTCTGGAACGGAAGCACCCCTACTATAAATTACGGTTCGACTGGTCTTGAGAACTTTGGTAAGCAGAGCTGACCCAGTTTTCCTACGGGCTGATGTTCAACAGTTCACTCGAGATAATGTTGTGGCTGCTGCTAAGGCAAACAACATTCGCCTCATTGTTACGCTGTACGTCAGGCACTTTCGTACAACATCATGCAACTGAACATACATTAAGTACGAATAACTGGTCAAACTACGGCGGAATGGACGTTTACGTTGACCAAATCCTTGGTGAAGGCCAGCCTCATGACTACTTCTACTCTAACCCCGAGGTCATTGTACGTGCACATTAGTATTTGGCCATCAGACTTCTCACTGACGCCGGGGCCATTAAGGCCGCCTTCCAAAACTACGTGAAGGTGTGGATTGAAAGGTACATCGAAGAGCCCACCATCTTCGGTTGGGAGCTGGGTAAGTGACGCGTCTTCCCTTGCACGATCTCTACCATCCACTATAATTTACAGCAAATGAGCCACGTTGCACTGGATCCACCAAGTATTTCGAATGTTTTTCGAATAGAAAGTATTTATTCTGACGTACCATAGCGCTACCTCAGGTACTTGCACTACCACTACGATCACGGATTGGGTCAAGACTATGTCCAGCTACATCAAGTCTCTCGACAGCAACCACCTAGTTGGTCTCGGAGACGAGGGCTGGTTCAACTTGTCCAACTCCACCGACTATGCTTACGAGTAGGTTGATTATAAACCTTCGGCTCAAAGCATCTATTGACTTAATTCTAGTGGTTCTCAGGGTGTCGACTTCGATGCCAACTTGGCTATTGACACTATCGACTTTGGAACTTTCCACGTATGTCTTTTTCTTGTTCTTATTAGATTAGTCATGACTGAAGTCAAAACGAAACCAGCTATACCCCGTATGTTGAGCAGAGTAATAGTTGCTATTATCACACTATAACTCACAAATCTTCTATGCTGACTTAGTACACTTGGAGTGAGGAAACCCCGAGGTGAGCACACAATTCGCGCAGATCGCTTTTCCATAGACTGATTATCTGCCAGCGCGATGGTCTGGGGTCAGGAATGGATCGAGAACCACCGCGATGCTCAGGCCACCTACAACAAACCTGTACTGATGGAAGAGTTTGGTGTATACGCTGACCAGAACCAGACCACGACCTACGAGAATTGGTACTCCACCGTGATCGATGGCGGGTTGAGTGGTGTACTCATCTGGTGAGTCTTGGATCTTCGCGAATTTGAAAACAGCAGGTTAGAAATTCCTTACTAGGCAAGCTGGTTCGAACTTGACGAGTGGACTCACACCAAACGACGGTTTCACGGTAGTATCTGATTGCGATATCTTGCAAGAATTGACGACTGAAATTTCTGGACGTAGATTTACCCCGATACTCCCGTGTACTACTTGGAAGAGCAGTTTTCGGCTCAACTCAAAGCAAAGAATTAGGGACTTCGAAAGGGCCTCAGTTTGTCCAGACATAGACAGTTTATGCAATGCCATGATGTCACATAAACGAACTCTGGTCCCAAGGACTGCTTGGAAAAAAGCAAGCTCCGCAGTAAAATAAGGGACTTTCCCTCGGAAATACTTGAGCAGGAATGACTCAGGACTGGCGAACACAAGACTGGGGAAATTTTTGAAGGGCCAAGGCTGAGTGAATGTTCTTGGCTTGCGACTTTTGCAGTCATATTTCATCCGTATGGAACTCGCGCATGAATCTGATGCATCAGATGCATCAAGGGGATATCCGAGTCTGTCTTTCTGACTGATCATAATTGCCAGGTACGTGTAAGCGGGGATGCTTAGAACCTAACCCAACACCGCGTTTACATTTCGCTTGTCAGCTGTGTAGACAAACGTCTGATGGCAATATACGTTTTGTGATGGGACGCAGTGTAAGTTAGGGATTTAGTCAAAAGCCTCAAAGGGAGATATTGGAATTGCATAAGCGGAGAATCAAAGGCGCCGGTAACGAGGACATCTTGAGGACATCAACGAGAACCGTGACATCGGCATTGTACGCAGCATACGCAGCCCTACGCAGCCTTGCCCGGTCTGATCGGCATCGCCCCTATGTTATAACGACCTGCTTCCCTCGAGATGTTGATCCAAATAATCAAACTAATCCTCCTGTCAGTGTAAGCACTACATATGAATTCTGTCCATCCTCCCGTGTTAGTAGTAAGTGACGACCTGCATATGACACATATTTGCGCATAGCTGAATTCCTTGTTAGGTAGGCGCTGGGCCAGTGGGTCTGGTAGCAGCGTTGACGCTCCTCCAGAACGGTATCTCAGTTCGTATCATCGATAAGGACCCCCACCATCGCATCGGACAGCGTGGTGCTGGAATATGGGTTTGTCACACATCCACTTGTCATATCGCCCCGTGGTCTCACTGAATGCATTCTCTATGTAGCCGCGCTCCCTCGAACTCTACAACTTCTTGGACGTTCCAGAAGTCAATGGTTTGGGAAAACCAGCCCCTCCCGTCCGTTCATACAAGCCCGGGACCTTGGAACCTCTAAAGGACTCATCGATGGTCCCGCCTATGGAACCTACTCCAGCAATACCATTCGTGCGCAACACCGTCGCCTGATCAAACCTTCATCCTGATTCGGTTTTTTAGCATACCCCCAAAATGATGGGTCAACAGCTCCTAGATGTGATTCTGCGACGCCACCTAGAGAAGTTCTCTTGTTCTGTCGAGATGGGCACCGAACTGCGCTCGTTCGAGCAGTCCGATGAGGGCGTCACCGCTGTTTTGGCAAACAACGGCATATCAGAGACTTTTGATACCAAGTGGATCATCGGCGCTGATGGTGCTAAAGGTGGGACGCAGTTAAATGCATCGGGATGAACGAGACTGAAGGCGGCATTGTAGGCGTCGTGCGCAAGCAACTTGAGCTCGCATTTTTGGGCGAGACTAGAGACGATACCCGGATTGTGACTGGAGATATCCGTTTGACGGGCGTTAACCTCGATAGAGTGGTACGTCCGTTTTCTACATATTCGATGAATAGCTGTCCTAATCCAGTCTCGAAGCATTGGCACCGATTTGGACACTTGAGTACACGAGGGTGTGTTCAGTTTCTGCTCTCGAGGCTTGAAGATGTGTATATTGATGATATGCAGCGTCACATTGCGTCCAACAGACGAAGTTGGCAAAGACGGCTGGCAATTCTTCCTCTACGGCCACGAACTAGACATACCGAAGATTGCTCAGAGCGAAGAGCTTGTTTTCGAGACCATCGCGTCGTTAATACCAACGGAGATTACATTCAACAAGGTGGTTTGGATGAGCGAGTTCCGGTGCGTTTTGTGTTTCTGCATGTGTTTCTACATATTCATCTGTTTGTTCCAGGGCCAATATCCGGATGGTGAATAAGTTTAGCGAGGGTCGAGTGTTCGTTGCGGGTGGTAAGTGGTTCTGTTTGAGATGTTTGTGGCCGTGCTCATGCATGTTGTTGTAGATGCTGCACAGTATGTCTATCTTTGAATGCCTTCTTCGCAAACTGCTGCTAACACATATCCAAGCGTCCACAGCCCAACTGGTGGTCAGGTATGGTTGATCCGATTGTTGCTGATACCTGCTCATTTGGCTATGAACAGGGACTCAATTCAGGTGTACAAGATGCAGTGAGTCAGGTAGATGTAGCATGTGTGTTACAACTAATCGCGCACCAGTTCAATCTAGGATGGAAACTTGCGCTCGTTCAGAAAGGCTTGGCTGACAAATCTCTTCTCGAGACATACAGCGCCGAGCGTCTGCCTGTGATCTCCGAGATGCTCGGGGTGACCACCTCAATTCTCAATAAGGCAATGTCGTCTGGAGACCCGTCGGACGGACGAAGTCCCATCCTCTACATGCTCGGCATCAACTGTCGATTCAGCACCATCGTGCTCGATGAATTTGTAACTTCAGTCGAGGGGAGGCCTATCAACGCATACGGAGTGCTTGACGAGGGGCATCTGGAGGCTGGGGACAGGGCGCCTGATGCGCCCAACATGTTGCAGGTGGGGCGCGCAGAGCCTGACGAGACAACGCTTTTTGGTTTGTACAGACCCTGGTACCACACAGTGCTCGTATTTGCGCCGAGTCTCACTGATGCCACCCCGATCTTGGGTGCCCTGGAGGCATACGATAAAAGTGTCGTACGATCGGCAGTCGTTCTGCCATCATCAGCATCAGTGACGCCTGTCGCATCTCCTGCTGACCTCGTACTTGTTGATCGGGAGGGCTATGCTCATTCGGCTTACCTCATGGAAGCTGACCAGACGAAGGTGTTTGTGATTCGGCCGGACGGAGTGGTTGGGGCGATCGTTCATGGTGCAGAAGGCGTAAAGAAGTATTTCTCAAAAATATTTTTGAACGCGTAGTGACCCGAATTTTCGTTCTTCACTTACGACTTCTACAAGCACAACTACATTCCTGTATACCCCATGCAACGTAGCGTATCGCATTTGTAACTGAAATCGACAGAGAACACCAATCGATACATACTAAAAATTTGCGTGGGTCCCGTCGTTCTTTATACTGCACTATGACAGATTGGGTGCGAGGGGATACATTCTGGAAGATGTGGAGACCTGTGATAATAGAGCGAACAAATCAACTTGAAATGACGGAACAAAATCAATGAGCAAGTGAAGGAGGAGCGTGACAAAATCATCTTAAACTCAACTGTACTCTGCCGGACTTGCCGATGGGCCCCAGAGTCCGCCCCAGATTTAGGCCCCAGAGTGTCCAAGTCCCTGACATTCTGGGCCGAAACTGTGACTGAGGGTGAAAAACCTGCCTGCCGCAGCAAAAGCATGATCCCGCTTATGTGATTTAAACTCAGACTCCAGTCACTTTTTGGCCCGAGGAGTCTGGATAGGGGTTTTGTTCATTGCATTTTCCACCATGATGTTCCCCACTAGCCCAAGTATCCTGGACAAGGATGCATTTAAATGCAGTGTCCTCCAGACCATCAACAATGGCTTTAACACTGACAATCTGTTGATTCATTATGCCAGTACTGCCCTTCACACCATGGAATCAGTCACAATGCCACTGGTTGCCCAGCACACAATTAATGTGTGCCAGTTGTTGCAGGCAATGTTGGAAGGTGCACAATTTACTGGAAGTCAATGGTACACTGCTACTTCAATCATTGTTGCCCATCAACAAGGCAAGGCTGTAAGTAGTCAAGACTGTTGTCCCTTAACAGTTACACCAAAAGGCAGTGATAATCAAAGCTCAAGCTTGATTATTGCAGACAGTATTTATGTTGATTATGGGAACTCAGGTAAGCAATGAGCTTACAAAGGCATCTTTAGAAAAGCTTGCACATGATTGGCTTTATTTTTTCTTGTGACCCAGTATGTAATAGTGCTGCCGCAGTCCAGTCCAGAACCACAGTTCGAACTGGACTTTTGGTCCAGTTCTCTGTGGTCCGGTCCATGGTTCTCAGTTCTAGGTCCTGCCGAATGGTTCGGTTCTGGTTTGGCCTTCCCGAACCATTGTGAACCCTTATCGACTTCAACTTCAACTTCAATATCATCTGCCTCGACATCAAACTGTGATCTTTGGGATTTGCATCCACTCTCTAGTATCACGAATCATTGCCATTAATTCAATACTTCTCTCTAGCTTTTTAAATGCACCCCATCCGTTATTCCCCTCACACTTTATTCATTTTCACAAACATGATTTCCCCCTGGCTCTGATCTCTTTGCCACACACATTCATTTGTTACAGAGGCATATCCTCATCCCATAAGTCTGGGTGTAGCTATTTTGACACGGTCCTGCCGTGCCTGCGGTGGTCATGATGGGCATGTGATGCGGCACTGATGAGTCTTGACACAGCTACTGATGCACTAGTGCAACTCATTTCTATGTCCTATATTGGACTTTCACATCAAGCTGTATGGTGTGGTGAAAGAAATAGTAGTCAGCTAGCTATACCAACAAACCTACTAAATCCTAATGGGTGCGAGTGCAGTACATTGACCCAAGGGGACTGCTATTGAAGCACTTCCTTCTAATAGTGTGAGGGAAGAGAAAGGAAGGAGTTAAGATCTAAGACCTGAGATGTTCCGACTGACCGAAGGTCCAAGTCCGAGAATGTCCAATGTGACGTGGGATACTGATGGTACACCTGATGCGAGATACTGATGAGGAACACTGATGCAAGAAACCAATGATGAACACTGACACGAGTAGAGGAGTCTGATGCTGAAGGGAGCAGCAGGTAAGGCTAGGCCGAGGTAAAGAGAGCCTAGGTATAACTAGGTATAGCGAGGTAAAACTAGGTATGGGTTGCTGAGTCTAGACCTGTGGTAGCAGTCCGAGTCTATACAAGGCCTAGGTATAGAAACCTTAGAGAGTGCGCACTTAGAGCGGTTAAGGCACGTCTGAGATGAAAAGCAAAAAGGGATCAATTGCACAATAAAGACTAACTAAGGTGACTCCTACAATGGTAGCAGGTATGTCCGGAGAAGGGAAGTAAGAGACAGTACGAAACTTGAGTCCTATTTATCTAACTACGTGAATGTCCAGAATCACACAGGTGAGAGTAGTAGTGAAACACAGGGTATTCAGGTCAATATGTAATAAGGCTTGCGAGTGCTGCAGCCATGGGAATACATGTAATAACGCCTGCAGTTCATTCAGTAATGGTAAAATAAGCTTAAAACACACCAATGGAGATAGGCGGACATGGGCAGGACATGGGAGAATTCGATACCGATGAGATGGAACGGTTGGCCAGGTGCACAATGACCAAAACAGCAAGTTAGGGACAGTACAGGCAACCCTGGCTCCCTGCGAACGGCTGAGGCAATGGGTCTGTATTGACCGAGTCGGACATAGTCCGCTGTGACATGGAAGGGTCGAGTGAGTCGAGGCTTTGCAAGGGAGTGATGTATGGATGTGATGTGGACTTCTAGGATGCTTGACCTCTATAGCAAAAAGGGGTTCTGCGAGGCTAGCCCAAGTTTGAACACCACAATGGGTTCGTGATCATTCTTTCGTTGATTTTATTCACCATAGGCACATATACTACTAGCCAGTCCTCAACTAATGACTATTTTCTTGGAACTGATGCACCAGTGTTCTACACTAAGGACACATACTACTAGTCGCATCAGCCAATGACTATTTTCTTTTCCTCCCTCTCTGGACCCTCTTTGAACCATGTCGACATTTAACTGGTGCACATTCTTCAGCTGGCAGTGAAGGGTGACATTTCACGGGCACAATCTCTTCTTCAGCCGGCAGCGAAGGAGCTACAATGTTGGACAACTTGTCTGCAGACATGGCATCAGAGTTGTGGCTGAATAAGGGGCCGCCCTGTCAATCACATTGGTGAGAGACCTATTGAAGAGAGCAATTGTTATTTTCTTTACCTCAAGTTCACTCTCACCGTAATCTCTGCCCAGAACCCACTCAGTAGGAATGTTGAAATACACATCCCACCACCTGTGATGGCAAGTCCTCAGAATCCTCGAACATCCTTGCTTTGAGTGTGGTCAGACACTCGAGGTCTATGTCAGCCACAAAACTGCACCCAATGCCAAACCTTGACCTGAACAACACTGAGCGTTCACCCCTAGGACGCATGGAGAGGTACCTGCATGACATGAGTGCATGACATCAAAGGGAAAAGAGGGATAACAGAAGGGGAGAAAAGCATGGGTGTCCTAGTCTGTTCATGTGGCAAACCATTACATCCCTGATTAGTCCAACTTTTTGTTCACTTTATTCTATGTATACACTACTGAAAATTTTTCATGTCTGCTTGTTCCCAGACTAAGTTATTCCCCTCCCTACAACACTCAGTTTGGCCGTCCTGCTCCAAAGCTTAGTAGTGGTGTATCACCATCCATTTCTTCACCTCCATTTCCAGTGTGCAACATATTGTACCACCATTTTTGATGCCCGCCATTTCTGCTTTGTCTACACCAAACACTGTCAACACAAATGTTGTTGAGTTGGAGCATACTGTATTGTCTGGTTAGTTGATATGTTGACATGTCCTGTGCATAGTTAACTGTTTGTAGTTGTCTGGATGAGAAAGAGCTCGAGTTTCTTGGGATACATTGGTCAGACTACGTGAGTTCTGCCGTGGACCAGGGATCTGTCTGAGGATGGGAGAGCAGTGTATGACAACAACTAGCTCTTATATCCTGCATGTACTTTTGGGCACAATTCTAATCAATTTGGCAAGACTCTTATCCTAGCAGATAGGTGACTACAGCAGGTGATAAGAATGTGGTCCACCTCACGATGCTCTGCTGGACACTCTGGCTTGGGATTCACTTATCCAAGGTCAGTCGCTATACTGAAAATTTTTAGGTTCGGTTCGGGTTCGGACTGGAAAAAAACTGAACCGGACCACAGCAAACAGTTCTCTGTGGTCCGGTTCTGGGTTCAGTGATTTTGTAGAACTGAACTGATAGTCCAGTTCTTGGTTCTCTTCCAGGGCCCTCTGAACCAGACCAAACTGGACCACGGCAGCACTAGTATGTAATTCACTCTTTTCTGACTGCTGTTTCTCATGTTAGTAAAGTCAAAAAGGCTTTTCAATCCCCTAACTGTACACTCTCTGAAACCTCTACACCATCTGAGTCTTTCTTCACCTCCAACTCAGATTTGGCTTCAGATTTTGGGCCTAAGGATCATAGTACAAAGTTTAGTAAAATGGTCTGTAGCATCTGACTTTCACCTCATACTATCATGATGTGGCATACTGACCTTGACTATTTACTAGCTCTCTGAACAATGTGACAATCATATTGGCGCTAGGCATGTATACCTGCATAAGCCTTCAATAGGTGGACCAAAGTTATCCCTCATATTATTCACTACTCCCCTATCAGCAGTCTTCACTTGTCTCAGCCAATACCCTTGTCCGACGCTATTCCGCACTTTCCCGCACTATGCGCGCACATTCCCGCAGCGCTATCCATGCTCCCACGACTTATCCGACGCTATTCCCGCGCTTATAGCGCTATCAGAACTACCAGCAATATGTCTATAGGAGCATTAGTGCATGTCCGCTCTATCTAGCGCTTGTTCCTGCGCTTAGCACTTATCCAGCGCGCCGTTCTCGCGCCCTAGGATCCACCCGAAACATCGGAATCCATCCATTGTCCATCCTACCTCATTGGTATGTAATTTGCCTTGCCTCAAGTTTGTAACAAGTGCTACAGTCTTATTACATGTATATCCTATCCCTTCCGAGTCTGAGATGGTATAGCTTACTAGTATAAGAAGCCTATGGTGACTACTTCAACATTACTTCCCTTCAACAGTATTTCCTTCTCCTTAGGTTTTACTTAGAAGTAGTCACCTTTAGTTGCGCTCTATAGCCCCTATTGGTTTACCTTGACTTTCCTTACCCTTGCAATCAATACCCTTGACCTCACTCGCTATCCAGCACCTTCCTTTGACTCAGTATCCGCTTTTCTTGACTTCCACTTTTCCCATGCACTAGCGCTCCACTACCAACACATTAGTGACCCGATAGCGACCATCTACCGACCCGCACTTCCGCTTTTCTTGCGCCATAGCGCTCTATAGTTGTGACATACTTTCCCACGCACTAGCGCTCTATCTTGCGACGTGCTATTCCCATGCTTTAGCGCTCTTTCGGGTCTTTCTATCTTAAGTTATCCTTAGTAGCTTTTCCCTCGGGTCGAATGTTCTTGCATCTTTGTTGCAAGTATAGCAGCATAGGCAGAGCATTAGACATATACTGGCTGAGTACCTTCACAAGTGCCTAGTCAGGTTGTGTTTTTCACAACAAGATGGTCACAGGTGTGCAGTGACCAGATGGTTGGATTTCTATTTCCACACAAAGGACAATCGACAGCCCAATTATAGAACAGTCCTTGATGCAGCTCATATTCTTCCAAGGTTAATTTTGAAAGACAGCAGCAAGGTCTGTCCTTCAAATGTCTAATTAAAGTTATACCTGATTTTTGTCCAGCACAGTCTACCAGTCACACTTCATCAGGAAAAACCTCCCTTGGGAATTCCACTGAAATCCTCAAACTCGCATGTAAAACAGCTGATTTCCAGAAACTCTGCTAATTTGACTGAAATCGATGTATTTTGAAAGTAATAAAATCTACCAGTCAGATTCAACAGAAATCATTGTATTTCCAATGAACTTGGAGTAAATTCCGCCAGTCAGATTATAGTGAGATAAGCATGCCTGTCACTGAACGAGTTTACAAAGAAGCTAGAACAAAGCTCCAGAACGGTACTGCTCGTCCATTCACGAGGTACAACTGGGCCAAATTTTGGAATAAGGTGTACACTCCTGCGAATATCAGAGATATCGATGATGCTCGTGAGACACTCTCCATTACGAATGACACGGGAAATTTTGTATAAACCATGGTTTGCTTCGGGTTGCCCGAATGGCGTGAACCACTCCACATAAGCAAAGTGGGTAGATGCCTTGGCAGGTGTGCAAAATAAGGCAGCCACAGCATGACTTGTCAGTGTGAAGATGACATGGACTTGTGCAACACGATACCCTCAAATTCATGATCAAATATTAGTTTAGTGAGGGAGTAGTATGAAAACACAACTAGAACAAGAATGAGAATGGTGACCGTTGACCGTCGAGAACTGGCAAATGAGAATGAGTGAGCGAGATCACTAGTCACAAGTGCAATTATATGAATCGGAAAATGAGTGAAAACAAGCAGGAACACTCACAGGCTAAGCGTGGACAGGGACAAACTAGCGCAGAAACGCAGACATGAAAAAACAAACTAGAATGATTAAAAATGAGTGAAACGAGTGGCAAAAGCCCATATAAGAAGAAATACTCACAAGTGGACAAGCAGAAATGAGTGTAGAGCATTAGCATGATCAAAATGGTTGAAAATGTAAATGGTAGCTACAGCGCAGCACTGAGGAGTGAAACACTTAGACAGATTCTGATCAATCCGGGAAATGCCGAGTTTATTCTCACAGTTGAATTTTAAAAGTTTGGTTTGAAAATGACACACAGGTCCATTCCCCTTCTCTCTACTACTTTGAGTTGCGCACACTCTTCTCTTTACTGAATGTTTTCACTTGTTGTCAGGATGTGTGTAATCTCTTTTTTGACCTGCTTACTTAATGCCGATGGTGTCATTTCCATGTCCCACTCTGTGCGTGTCCTTGTCTTTGACCTGTTTACCCAACGCTGATGGTGCCATGGCCATGTTCCGCTTTCAGAATGTGTGTGACCTTTTTTCTCGTGTCCCGCTAATTTTGTCCTTTTGCCCGCTTATCTGATGCTGATGGTGCTTCAGCCGTATCCCGCAATTGGAGTTGTGGTTGCAACTATTGTAGATTTTTAGGTGTTTTTACTGTAGACTGACAATGCTAAGTATATTATTTTCACAGACTTAGTCTATACTGATGGACTGGATGAGTGGCAATCCACCATCAAGCTCACAAGTCAAATCCTTCAACGATACCCTCCACATTGCAACCCTCACTCGGATTTCCGAACGCGGGAAAAAAAAGTATCACGTGCTTATGGCATGGCTTTTCAAGGCTGTCAGGTGCGTTTCAGGTTCCTTGGATTGCGCCTGTCATTCACACACTCTCTGTTAGTGTGTCGCAGAGCATGTTACTGCTGGCTGGTTTGGGGAGCAACTTCGACTACCTTGATGTTAATGCAATGTCCGAGGATTAAAGGTTGTTGTGTCTCTATTGCTGATCCAACTTGATCATAGTTGCATCTAATTCAAGCACTAGCATCTTCATGTGCTGTTGATACCCATGTTCATGTATAATACATTGTGATAAGCCATTTTAATGCAATATAATGTTGATTTTCGTGTAATTTGACATCGACCGATCATTGAGTGAATTGGACAATATTCAGAATAATCCATCAAGCGACTGAGTGAATTCGATGGAATTCAGAGAAACTACTCAGAATTCAAAGGAATTCAAAGGAATTCATAAAACGAGCTACCGGACTTAAATAATTCTGCAAAACCTGAATTCACTTGAATTCACTTGAAATCTTCCGAAAACAGAGAATTACAAGGAATTACCTCAATTTCAGGGGGGAGGTTTTCCCTGATGTTGATATTATCAAGAATTATGCTCAGCTCTCTTCAGAGCTCATCAACAAGCTGCCTGATGAAATTGATGCTCCTACAAATGGAATGATGCTTGATCGTTCATTACATGTCTTGTTTAATTGTTCTAGATGGTGCCTTCATGCCATTGTAAGTTTTATTGGGTCTTTGAAGCACAATTTTTGGATACTGATGCCCTTGAGTCCAGGGTGAGCACAAATATGCTGTACATTGCTTTAGCAATTCCTATCATGGAATTGTGGAGGGTATGGAGGTCTTCTTCCAGGACCCATTTCAAGATGGCACAAGCCTTCCAGAACCAAAATTCATTGCATTGCATGCTGCAGTTGCTCATGTCCTGCATTCCAGTGGTGCAGCAAAAGTTCTGGACAGCATTTGTGATATGTACTTTGATGATGAAGATTCCTCAGCACTGTCCAGTGAACACTCTTGTCTTGAAGAGACTACTTTAAAGCTTGCCTTGATGCAGCTCACATCAGACAGCTACCAGTTACCAACAAGTTCTTGTGTATTGGCATCTCCTCAGGAAGGATAGTGCAGACAGAATTTTCAATTCATTGGTGATTCATTTAGCCACAAAGTACAATACAACTTTCTACTATAGTTATCTTCTCTATATACTCAGTGCATACAAAGTAGGATCATTTGGATTTAGTGATACCATGTTGAAGTATGAAAGTGTGTGAGTAGAGGTAGAGATCCACATGGGTAAACCCTGGGGTATCAGAGACCTCACCTGCACCCACACCCTGAGATATACCCACACCCCAACAAGGGGTATGGGTTTTGTGGTTGGTACATGTATAAGGCACCATAACCTAGACCCATCAAGGGTACTGTTGTTTTGTTTATCGGTTTCCTAAAGCGGCGAGTACAGCTTACCTAATCACGCCAGACAGAGTTGTTAAACTTCAGTCCGCTGCTCTACTAGCACGAGACTGAGGGTGAGACATTCATTTATACCTCGTGGGTCCAGGGACCGGGTGAATTTATTCCATGATCAGACGTTCCTGAAAATCTGCAATGACAGGTGAACCATTGAATGCATGGGCTCCCGTAGCTTTGGCTGTGGTGAGAGTGGAGAGGTAAATTTGGCGACTACGTTACACCGCTACATGTGTCGTGGACCAGCATGTATTTGGGAAAGAATTGGCCAATGAGTGAGATAAAATTTGAGCAAAGGGCGTGACATTCATATCGGAGTAAGTACATGGATGCATTCGGACAAGTTATATGGTGATGTGCTGCCAGGCTGGAGATTCGAGAAACTGCCCGACACGAGCAACAACAGCATTCATGCGGCAGTCTAGGAAGGATAGATTCCAGCCAGATTCGAGCGCCGAGAAGTGCTAACTGCACTATGATAGTTGGATGCGAGGGGGTACATTCTGGAAGATATGGAAACCAGAGTCGGGTCCATGTACACCGTGACAGTGCAGAGGAGCCGGGAGGGTATAAATAACCCTGCGCGGCAAGATGTGAGCTTTCTATCGGGAATTCCACGAGAAGAGGTTGGGGTAAATTCGACGATATTGTAAGGGAATGACGTCTCATTGCGACAATTCGCTTTTTGAATTCATCAACCCATCGAGAAGCTCGGCGACTTTCTGGCGAGCTTCATTCTTTTCCTGTTGTACGTGCTTGAGTTCTGCATCCCGACGGTGGGCGATTTGAGCCTCGTCGGACAAGAGAAGCAGCAACTTCAAGGAATGTGTTATAGACAACAGCGAATTAGCTGCACGGACCTGAATGATTTCGATAATGAGCAACCCGTAGTGGACAGGGTTTGTTTTCATACCATAGACTCGGCGCGAGATTCGGCCTGAAATGACTCTTGTGCGATTCGAAACTTGTCCTTGTCTCCGATCTGACGGAGGTTGAGGTCCAACTCGAGAAGGTACGTATAACGCTTACCGATGCCAGACTAACAATATCGACCATACCATCAACCAATACTTCTACCTCGGCGTCTAGTTTCTTGTTCCACTCTTCCTCGATGGCATCAAGGTATTCATCCGAGTTCTGATCAACGAGAGCTTGATTGAAAGTGGGGCGCTGAAGTAACTTGGCTGTAGGCAATGCTGAGGGACGAGAGACATCAGTCTGGGGAGGCTCAGCCATCAGTTGATATCGTCCGCACGACTAGCTTGGATGGTGCACGGGTGGAGGACCACAGTTCGTGAAATAGCCCCGAAAAGGCAGGAACAAAAGCAAGGTATCATGTGAACAACGTTGTGCGCTGTTGTGTTCTGATGATCATAAAGCTTGAAGAGGGAATGACCGTCCAAGTCTTCCATGTATTTGATCTGCCATGTTCCTTGATATTACACCAATTCGTGTTTCTTAACTCAGTATCATGCGCTTAGAATCAGTGGTTCCTTCAATCCCTGCAGAACTGGTAGCAGCACTCGACCGTTCGTGCGGCATCCGAACAGACACCGATCTTCTCTTCTTTGGTTCCAGCTTAGACATTATCAAGAAATTACCACTCGGGACTGTAACGCTTTCAGACCTGGAGAAGTTCACCGAATTAGTAGCAGAAAAGGCATCGGTCCCTGGGCATCGGGGAGACGAGATTCTTGCCGGCACAGGACGGATATCTGAGAAACATCCTCAAGCCACCTGTGGTGTGGAGGAACTAGATGAACTTATTGGTGGCTTTGGTGATTCTCGAGTCTTTGAAATATCTGGAGCCAAAGGATCCGGCAAAACGGTCAGATGAGTTGAAGTATATTCTCAAGGGGCAATTTACAACGAAGATAACAGGCACTTGCGCTGCAAATAGTGATCCAATGTCTTCTTGCTAATGCAGATTCTTGTGCGTTATGGATTGATACATCCGGTGACTTCTCTGCAGAGAAAACTGCTCAGCTAGTGCGACATTTTGATGTAGCGGTAAATTTATCGTCGACCTCGTGATAAGAATCTAACGAAGGACTGCCAGGTATCTGGTAAAGTGCTAGAGAGGTTGCAGGTATCCTTGGGTTTCAACATCGAGACAGTACACGATGTCCTCGAAGCGCTGCGTATTTCGCTTTTGGTATGCCTCCATCTCTTTTACGCTCATTCATTCCTGAATTATGCTATGTATCGCAGAGTTCTAGGACCGTAGAACCAACAGTCCAGTGGATAGTCATCGACTCCATAACCCCACTTCTGCTGCCGTCCCTAAGTGCGGTATCTTCCCAAGGACATGCCATGATGACAACGTTTATGCGCCAATTACGCGAGCTTGCTCGAACTTTCGGGATAACTGTCATGGTAAGGTTGCTACACGAACTCGCACCTGCTTCTTATTTTATCTAGGTGATCAACGGAACATCAGCAGCTGTACCATTCAATCAGAGTTCCGCATTTGCATCAACAATCAGAAAACCTGCTTTGGGTCCTTCATTTACATTTATGACAGATTGCACCCTCTGGTTATCGAAGACGAAAGATATGCCTGATCCCGAGGGCTCGTTCTCGTTGCATGTGGCAGAAGTATTCCGTTCGAGGGCAACGGTGAGTTACTGAGTAGTTTTCCCTTCGTGTGATGTCTAATTTGAATTACAGAGATCAAAGACTTGGTGTACCTTCCAAATTCGTCATGGCGTATTATCCTCGATGTCGGATTTGTAGCTATCTCCTCCCACAGGTCATTTCTTGGCATAATACGCATAATGTCCGGCTTGACCTAGTGGCTCGCTAACAAGCAGAATTAATTTGAACTACAGAAGCAGATTGCGTGTCGTTGCGAAACAGTTATGGCACAGAAGTGAATACAAACTACAAGGTGAGTTAAGTACACGATGTATCCTTCCTAAACGTCCTCTACCGTTACCTCCCTCGAAGCATGAAATTCATGACCCCAAAACCTTGAGAAGCGAGATGGCCGATATGTATCCCGCTTTTGACTTTGAGCAGCATTGTTCGTGCTCGTCACGAATATGTCGTTCTGAGCTCCATCTTTAAAATCGTAAAGGTCGTTGTAGAAAGGAGGACCCATGTAGTCCTCAAACATCTAACCAGACCAGATTCAGATTCAGTATCGCGCAAATGGTTTCCAAATACTCACGTTGTCGCCTTCATTTTGCAGCCAGTACAATGGTTGCTTCGCTCCGTGCGTACAGTTGCTAGGGGTAGGGTGGGTGATTCCATGTTCAGGATCTGCTCCGCAGCGTCTTGCAACTTGAGGCTTCATGAGAGCTGGTGCATCGTGCCTAGAACCCGTTACTGTGCACTGGAAGGCATTCATATACACTGCAAGGCACCGAGTCAGGGTGACTAGACAACAAAGGAAATCGCCCTACTTTGTTCAGAACCGCTATCAGGAGAGTGGATCCAGAACCATGCACACGTGCATTTTCCGCCGGGACAGGCAGGCATGTCAGCGGGAACCTATTATTGTTGTTAAACTGGGTTCAGAAGATCTTTGGTCATCGTAGGAATATGTACCTGGAATGCGGTGAATCTGTGCCAGACGCAAGTCTGGTTGACGCTAAAGACTGTAAAGTCCTCTGGTTTGATCTTGCTGACATCTGATTCATGAACAATGGCAAGTGCACAACCTTTCACGTCGTTGATACCCGTGGTATGGAACTGGACAGAAGTGGACCTGGGGCAAGGCCAGTCCCCCTGACGAACATCTCCGCTGTGCCATTGAGTTCAGTATACATCCTGATGGAACATGTAATCAGATGACTAACCCTTCGGACGAATTCCACCACGTCGTCGCGCCCTTGTTGCACCCGAGTTCTGCAATGGCGGCTTTCCCAGCGGGCAGTTCAAAAACATCATTTGGGTGCGGAGGATACCGCAGGTGGTTGTGAAACCACCACTCGTCAAACGTCATACGCGCTAGGGGAACAACAGGACGGTTGTCGTAAGAATACGCTGGGTCTTTGTCTGTGACGTTGAACCCCCACATGCTCGGGTGCCAGAAGGCAATGTGGGCATAGACAGAGGGGGCGACGACGACGACGACAATGAAGAACAGACGAGTAACTGAGTAAATCATAATGGGTGAGCTGCTCGTGTTGGTTTCTCAACGGAGGCACCACGCATTATATACCACACAGCTCACTTGTGGTCCTACTGAAGAGAACCAAGAAAAAAACTGTAACTTTAGAATGCAATACACCATTGCACCGATGATGAGCGCAGTCACTCACGAAGATTGCACCCAGAAAAGCGTCTGCCCTGAGTTGCATACTTCCGGCGCACACTGGTTGACTCTGTCCGAAGACAGGACAGCGAAAGGTAATCAACAACGTTCCCTTCTGGAAGATCTGCAGCGTGACGGGCAAGCTGTACATATGCTTCTGACACAAGATTCTCAATGCACTGACAAGTTAGGTATCAGTATTTTGCCTCCGAAGACAAACAGGTGTTGCCAAGCTCCATTACTTTGGCCGGTAGGTCGTTCAGGTCATAAAAGTCTCCAGGCTTACGATAACTTCCAATTCGTTTCAAGCCTTGGGCCCATTCGGCATAAAGGCTCGTCATTATGGGGTAGGACGCCCTTTCGACGGCCCTAAGTCGACCGTAGCTTGCCGCATGACCGTAACAGTTTCTCAAAATGCCTTGTAGGGTACCAAGTCGCCAAGCTCATATTCCAGCAGCATCGCAGTATATTGCCCAGGAATAATCACAAGGAACTGCATAATTCAAATCAAACAAGGCTGTGGTTCCAATGATGTCTGCTTTGAGCTTACCTTCAACAATGAACAATTAGCAGAGCAAAGCATAACACTGGAATGTGGATGATAACAATAAAAGTTACTTACCCATCCAAAATCGCTGGTGACACTGACAAAATCATTCACATCAGCTCGGAGTATGGCTACACCCGTAATCATTCGGGTACAACTGCTTGTGGTTGGCCTGTGGCGCACACTCCTTCAGAAGGCGCCTCAGAGGACGAAGGCACTTCGTCAGTCGATCTTGACTTGACCGGGCCCATTTCGCATCAAAAGCCATCGGGGTCATCCGAAAACCCGTTCAACAAAGTTGATGGAAGATTCGCGAACATCAAAAGGCTTACGAACCCATCTCGTGGATAGGAAAGAGGCATCCAAACGAAATCGTGGAACTATCAGCACGAAGGTCACCATAGTACATTAAAAGGGGTGCATCATTAATCCAAAGTTTGATGATAGTTCGTATCAAAATGAGGTGAGGAAGCAAGCTAGACTTCACATATCTCCAAACCTGTAAAAATGATGAGAGCAGTTCGATACCGTAATCGAGATCACTTGCCTATCTGGCATCAACACGGGCGCAAGCAAACTCCACATGTACAGTAACATGCACACCCAACTGCTTACTATGCGCATCCACATCGCGGTCTCCGAGCGGCCGATGCGGACAACTTCCTCGGAGTCAGCAGAACCCTGTTCTGTGGACACCACGTTCCTACGTGGAAAAGATGGGCGGAAGGCCCCGGATATAATTAAAAGACGACTTACCAATCAGTCAGGAGCATGGCAACATACATTGCACCAATAGCGAAGATAACATGAAACCAGGAATACTGTGCATGTAAGTAAGATGATTGTTATGAAAGATGTTACAATATACTCACATTGTATCTCGTGCCGGAACGTTCATCATCTTTGGCATCTCCATAGTCATCATCCTCCTCCTCGTCATCGTCTTCATCCAGAGCGGATGCAGGGATTGCTCTGGCAAGTTGTCACTACCCAAATATGAATCTATAGTACTATCACTTACCCGGCCTCGACAGCAGCAAGGAGAGCCTGATATCTTGGCGACTCCGTTTTTCCTGGTTGAGTTCTAACTACATCCATTTCCGAAGGCTCACTAACGTCGACCGGAAGTTGAACTGCGCCACCTTTCTTTCCCTTACCCACCAATGCACGGCTCTGTGTCGCCGCGCGACTGGTAGAATAGGCGATAGCCAAGAAAGTGAAGACCGCACCAAGAACAACTGTGGTAGTCCGCGTCTTGTCAGTCCGGCTGAGCGGATTGCAGGATTGGTGGGCGTGATTGCTGACGGCGGAGACAACAAGATAAGTGCAGTATGCAGCAACCATTCCGGATTGAGCGAGACCCGATCGAGGATTCGACGCTTGAATGGCAGGATGTATGGACATAATAGTGATGATGATGCAAAGGGCCAGGTTTAATGAGATGAAGAACCGGTTGAGAGTGCATCCGGAACTTGCGAAATAGGCGTATAGAATGCCGGTCAGGGTGATACACGCCACGTACATCGAAGCAGTAGAGCCTATGAGGATCCATTGCCATAAAGTCGAATCTGAGTTCTCCCAATTTTCCTGACACATTTCTGTCCATGAGTGGGCGAAGTCGACCAGGAGAACCAAACCAAGGAGGATAAATATGGTGGCACCTATAAGAGAAACGTAGTTGCCCCAGAACATGAAAAATTCATTCGGTATGAAGAACGAAACCACGACGAGCAAAATCCACAGCAGAACCTTTGGGCCCCACCAGCTGGCTTAGATGAGCACATATTCCAAATATTCAACACAAGACGGGGGTGCTTACCCATTCTGAATCGCGGCGCGTTTATCTTTAGACTCTTTGACGCCAATGAGAGACAAGCTCAGGATTGCATGAAATAGAGATAAGGCGAAACAAATACGATGGACCTGAGTTCACGTGGGTCAACATCAAGTCAACTGTGAGTTGCATTGGACATACCGCAAGAACGCCATAACACTTGCCCTCATCCGAGTCGCAGTCCATCTTTATGTAGTCATAACTCCAATGCTCAATCTTGCGAATTGCAAATGGAGTCTTCATGAGCCATGCTAGCAGGGAATTCAAAATAAAGATTATCTAGGCAAATACGGTCAGGACTCTTCCAAACTCCCAATCATTTCACTCACTGCGAAACCGACTCTCGTCGCTATCGAGGAGTTGCAGTTACAAGACTTGCAAAACATGGACGCTAAGAAATGTATCAATTGCAGTTCTACACGTGCAAAATTCCGGGACGAGTCCCACCAGCAGTCGAAGTAAAGCAGAATGCAAGACCTCCGAGCATTGATGCTGCGATAGTCCCAAGCGGACCAGCGAGGGGGATAGAGAACAAGAGACCCATGACGTATCGATGGAATCACTATATGTTACTAGGTACAAGTTTCTTGTAAGGTGTAGGCCTCCCTTAGATGCCCTGCGCATCCTATTTTGGTATTTCGTTCCCACCTGCGGATCAGCCAGCGAGATTCACGCGTGGCAATCGCGCACTGGAGTTGGTTCGACCGACGACTACGGTACTACCAACGTTCCAACTTGCGATTCCGCTAGTATTCATTGTATGACTCAACCGCCTCAGACTGCATCGTGCGGAAATTTTTCATCCAGAACGGAATCGCAGTTGCTGATTCAAACCTAAAAACACTGCAGCGACTGTCGCGGTATGAACTACACCATGTGCTTCGATATAATTTTACACTAAAACGTTCTGTATGGTGCCAGCTGCAACCATAGTACCGAAACACGCGTCTGATATGCAGTTCTTCATGTGCATTGTGCGAGCCCCGCTTGACATGAGAACTAATGGAACGGTGATTTAAGCGCGCCAAGGCTGAGCGCTGACCCCGCATTCAATGTCATGCCTTTATTACACTTCAGTCTCCGGTTCCGCGTGCATTCTTAATCTTGCATCGATTCTCAGCTGAAAATATTCACTTCCTTACTTCTCCATTGAATGGATTCGAAGCACTCTACTGACGCTCTCGCAGCCGCTAGGAGTCTCCAAGTCTTTACGGTAATTCTTCCTCTGGGCAATACAAACAATCTCTGATAAGATCCTGATCAATTACTTTTAGCACATTTATGGTATGTGCTGCTTCATTTGACTCAGATTGCCTTCTGCTAACGCAGATGATCCAGTGTCGATGGCTACATTCTGGGTACGATCATCCTCACCCTTCCCACTCTAATATTCGTCTTGACCATTCGATTCCCACCCAGACATACGACTATGCCTGCTCAATCCGTGAGGAGGGTGACATGAATAACTTCAACATCAATTTCGTATGCTCATCATGCACTGTCTCAAGGGGATTTTTTTGTTTTGTTCTCGCTGGAGCAGGGTCAAACTTCTGTACGTCGTAACACGCTATGTGCCTTTCCTTCTTTTTACTGCGCACCTGTACCGTACGTCCTGAGCCTGAATGGATCTAAGATACCATATTGACAGACTGTTGCAGTGAACTTCGTTCCAGACGAGATTTCTGATGTATGTAGACTCGCGATGGATGATAGCTTTGCTTATTTGAGGGTCAACCTAGACATGTCAATTTGTCAACAACATCTGCTCATGTGCGTCGAATTATATGTTGAGCTATTCAGTTACTAATATCTTTCCTCTCCTACAGGTCTTAGCATGATATCGATCATCTGCTCAGAATGTAATTACTTTATTACCTTTATCGCGAGTGCAGAGTTTTTATCTCTCCAGGTTTCTTCATACTCAGGACGTATGTGCTATGGAATAACAATAAGGTCGTTCTGGCAGCCATGCTATCGACTTTTGCAGTGAGTTGTGTGCAATGAATGACGTAGCTTTCTCATACGAACACGGTATTAGACTTTAATTGTGGGGTCTATTGTTGCCCTATTTTCCGCCACTGCGATTGCGCCATGTATGAATTATACTCGTCTCTCTGGCCATTTGTTGACTGGGTTTCATTTCGCAGTTGAGACCAGTTTGATTCCAGGCATCACAGGTTGCTATCAATCCTCAGGAGGTGTGAGGCTTTTTGTGCCTTATCTTCTTTTGTTTGGATTAGAACTGAGTGCGTCGCTGAAAATTGATAAAAAAAAACACCCTTTAATTCGTGCTGACACAGTGCTAATCTCCCTCACGCTCACATGCGTCATACAAAAGTGGCGTACAACTAACAACCGTTTGTATGATACTATATTGAAACACAATGTGCTCTATTACGCATGTGGTTTGGGTAAGTACGAGAGTGGGACGTTTCATCCTTACTCATCGTTTCCACAGTTTTCTCGATGGTGAATGTTCTGACCTCGCTGCTCCTCGACGTGCGTTACCTATCTATTGAAATATTTCATTTAATTGACATTTGATGCAGTACGCATATAGCGGCATGTTCCAAGAGTACGTCTCTGCCAAGTTTTGCTGGCAAAACAACACTTACAGCCCCAATCATATGTGTCTAGTTTCCAAATCATCGTTCACGCCATACTCGCCACTCGAATGCACCTCCATTTGTGGCACGTCAACCGCAGTGACGATCCTGGTGGCTTCACTTCAATTATTCTCTCTGACCTGGTACCCACAACCTATAATGAATCATCCTATGATTAGCTTGCAATCCTTGAGGGTGGATTGGAAAGAAAGGATGATTGCGATTGACTGCTCCAGCGGTTTTGGTCGGCTAGATTGGATGATCGCTTGTGATTGGAAACATGGAAACCTTGTTCAATGATTCATCGGGATCGACAAAAGATCATGCTGTAAATTAACTGTAGATCGTAAGTGTATGTATCATGCGGTCTGCTCCTTCCTCAGTTTTGAAAGCGACGTTGATTTTTGGCTTATGATAAAAAAAAACAAGCTAACGAAAGGCGAGAACTGTCATTATCACTAAAAGAGTTAAGGTTGTCGATGGTCTTGATCAACTCTATCGCTGACAATGGGAGCCTGGTGAGGGATTTTCAAAGTTTAAGACACCCACCTCTTGGTTCAGATCAGATTTTTTACGCCACCCTGACTAATCGCGTGCACTTCAGGCTGTAGTCCGCAGAATGGACGATATCGGTACGCGGACAGAGTGTAAGGCTGAGTATGAGTTCGAAAGGGAATGGTGAACAAAACGAAGCTGAGAAGAGACAAGTTTTTAGAGGACAGTTGAGACGGGGACTTTCTAAGAGGCTTTTCGGTCGTGCTTGGAGCGAGGATCTGACTCTAAGATTCGCTGTAGGTATGAGTGTACATGGGGAGTATATATACGTTTTGAATTGCTTGACTAGGCCGGAACGAGCGTGAAGAGCATATGGCGAGGTGAAAATACTTCGGTGAGGAAAGGGTATCGTGAATTTGGGGGCACAAGGTAGAATAATGAAATAGATAAAAGGAGAAGTGAAAGAAATGAAAGGAATGTATCCACGTAACTCGGATGCGAAGAGTTGCGCTCTTCGCATAAATGTGTCACGTGGATGACGTCGAACGCATGGTCCGTTCGAGCGTCATAGTTTTAAAACATAAGTCGGCGCGTAGAGAACAGCAGCTCCTTATAAGAGGATGAAGACCTAACAAATGTTCAATCCATAGCACCTTCTCCTGGCAATAATGTACAAATTCCGGTCTTATTCATCCTGAAGAACAGACATTTCTTTCTAGCAATCACTCTCAGACAGACTCGACGCGTGCTTTTGTGGAAGCCGTGGAGATATCGACACTGAGAAGGTTCTGAAAAAATACACAACATCAAGGAGAGCTACCTCATGGAAAACTGTGCCGCACCTTTCCTTCCCTCAGCTCGGCGGCAGATGGCATAAGTCCAAGTCTCAAGAGCTCAGATGCTTTGCTGACTGCCGGGTCATTTTGCATGCTGTCGTTGCAAGCCTTGTAGGGCGCGACCTGTAATTCGAAGAGAATGTCTTACCTAGATACAGCAACAACCTCGCCACGATGGACATAGTACGCAATGAACTTGAGAGATAAGTAAGCAGACCGTGGAGTCAGGGTTTTCCGCACACGTTACTCACCTTCATTTCGCCAGGGTCGCCGTGTATAATAACATCGTCATAATTGGCTCCAAGACCACAGTAACGAAGCTGCTGTCCCTCTGATGAAACGTCGTCAGTGATATCCCTGATTCAATTTCCAAAACGTACGGGCGCTCCAAAAGACTGGCACTTTCGCAAATGGCTGTGGGTCACCCGCAATCGTCTTACCAACAGCACGGCCGTGGTTACCTGCAACCTGTGGAGAATCAAGGTGAGCGATAAAATTTGGTAGTCCTGCGAGAATGGGTATTTGCTGACGTTCCAGTGTTCTATCCTACGGCTCTCTCCCGTCCGTTGCTGTGGGTACCAAGCAATATCGCCTGTATCAAAGGTCGGCACTGGGAACGGTACAACGAACAACCAAGCCCACCGACTGCATAAACATTGTCTTGCCCTTGAACTTTCAAGTATTGGTCAACCTTGATTCCACCGTCCTTCTCGAGCTGGAAGCCGCTCTGCTTCAAGAATTCGGTCGCTGGAGCCACGCCGACTCCCATGATGATGAAGTCAGCTGGGAGAGTCTGTCCGTTGACAACAACACCAGCAGCCAGCGAAGGGTCGCTCTCCGATGGTATGATCTTCTCGACCTGTGTCCCCATGTGAAACTTGACGCCTTGAGATTCGTGGTACTATGATAAAAAATGTTGAGGTTGAGAACAGTAATCGAAGAATCAACGTCGCAACCTTCTGAAGGCCTTGGCCCACTTCTTTGCCCAGTACGTTCTGGAACGGGTGCTCCTCCATGCCGATGACATCGATGGACGCAAGTCCCCGCTTAGCTACGGCAACGACGAGCTCCATGCCAATGAAGGAACTTCCGATAACAACCATTCGTTTTCCCTCTTGAGCCGCTAGGAATTTTCAAAGCATTGAGAAGGCCTCATAAGCGTCGATGAACCGATATTACCTGCATCAACGCGTTTCGAGTCCTCGATGCTACGGAATGTGTATACATTCTCGAGGTCTGATCCAGGAATAGGTAATCGACGAGGAGTACCCCCCATAGCGAGAATCAGAGTTTCGTAGGATATGGATTCCTTTCCTCCATCAAAGACAACAAGTTTAGAAGATGTATCCACGGAGGTTACAGTCTAACGGCAGTTCAGAATATGAGTTCTCCAGCAAGATAAATACCCACGACGCCAGTGCGGAGGGTGGTACCATACTTAATCTTGAGGTCAGCGGCTGTCCTCCATTCAAGTTTTGACGAATCCGTGATCAAAGCCTTGCTCAACTTGGTTCTGCGGACGAGTCAACAATGATCATTGATTTTGCAAATCTCATACCGGTCAATCGGGGCATGTTTCTCTTGGGAAAGAACTGTGATATTTCCGGAATAACCGTGCTGCGGATGGTTAAAACCAGTGTTGAGGACATTAGGCAACTGTTCGTACCTCTCTCAGACTCTCGATGGCGTGGAACGTAGCCGATCCTCCACCGATGATAACAACGCTTTTCCCTGATCCAGCGACGCCAGTCGACAAGAGCTTGGGCGAACGATTCATGTTGCTCTTGAGGGTCAACGAGGGATCGGCGGTCACGTTGATCTTACCGTCTGCGACTACCGCCTTGAAGGAGTGAATTGCAGCAGGAGCTGGTGCATCCTCTAGATAGTAATTTAGGCTCATTACAACGAGTCCCCGCTCAGAGAAAGCACTGACCGATGTCGCCAGTGCAAACACTGAAGCAGGCTATTACGCTGTGAGTCTCAGGCATGCTGCGCTTACATCCGCGTGAACTTACCTCCGTGCCAAGGGCTATCATGAACTCAGAACTCAGTAATGTAAGAGTTACAGAAGTGGAAATGCGTACCAGACAACCCTACCATCCGCAGTTAGTACGCCCTTGGCTAGGGGCGCGCCATAATGGGTACAAAAGGCACTGGTCGCATGGATGGTACCGTTCAGACGATATAACACTACCTTTCCCGCTTCCTCAAAGTCCACTTGCTTCCTGAGGAGCTGAAATTATGACAATCGTATAAACCTGCAAATTCCTGACGTACATTTGACCATCCTGTAGCTCAGATTCATTGCAAACTGCGATCGTCTTCAAGGACATGGTCAAAGCCTGTCGAAGTCGTGTCTGAAGTCGGGTTGATATGAAAAAATTGAGATGGCTGCGAAGGAGCATATAAAGGATGAAAAGCCAGCGAGCCGAATGGCACCTAGGAGGTAAACCGGCCGGTCACATATGACCTATCATGTTGGCCCATTGCATGCACTACCACTTGAAATTCCGAAAAAGGTTACTACTTCCAAACCCAGTCACACCGGAATTACAGGGGCACTAGCTAATAATGACTAGTCGCGTTATACAAACGTCAACTAGAAGTTTCTTTGGCCAACGTTTCAACCATGTTCGATTCAGATCAGCGTTATTGACTTGTACGTGTCTGTTATGTAATCAAATGGCCAGTGCTGAAAACACGGAGAAACTGCGGAAAGCGAGGAGCAACATGTCTGAATCGGATCGAATTGTCCCACTGGCAGCGACACACCTACAGGATTCAGAAGGCTTCCACACATCCAATGCTCGTGTCTATACTTCCTACGACCCTGCGAACCCTCCATCCCATCCGGGGGCGGATTGGACTCGCTTTGTATGCATCAGCGACACCCATTCTCGTACTTTCAGTGTTCCCTCTGGGGATGTCCTACTTCACTCTGGTGATCTCAGCCGGCTAGGTCGAGAAGACGAGATTCGTGTTACGATAGAGTGGTTGCATAGTCTGAACCATAGCGTCAAAATGTGCGCCACACGCGTCCTTATTGTATATGCCAGCAGTCTGACTACACGCAGTATTATAGCGGGAAACCATGACCTACCTCTTCACGAGGAGTGGTACGAGGACAGTTACTACGGCTTCCACGACAAGAAGGAGGTGTGGCTATCTTACTCAACTAACGGAAACCGCCTCTTTACGCGCATATGTAGTCACCAACCACGATTAGAAGCCTCGTCGACAGTGATGCAAATCGTGATCGAGGCCTAATCTATTTGCAGGACGAACGATATACTTTCAGCACTAAGGAGGGTGGAAGGGAATGGTCTGTATATGGCTCTCCGGCAAGTCACTTGCTTCGCAACCCACCTGACCCTTTGACTTACCTTCTCACAATGAAGTGGCAACCCTATTTCGGCGGCTGGGCTTTCAATTACTTGCCTGAGGAAGCCTCTGGTACAGTTTTATCTTCTACTTCACCCTTCAAAGGCACTCATTCTGAACAAGACCGCGTTTCCGGAATATCCGAGGTCGACATCCTGTAATTGACAATATCATGCAGTCAACATTGTGCTAAACTTATTCTTTAGTCTCACTCATGGCCCACCGCATAACGTTCTTGACAAAACCTTTACCAATATCAATGCTGGGTGCCCTGCACTACTCGCACACCTTTCCAAGATGCGGGGGCCTCCGCTTCTCCACGTCTTCGGTCATATACACGAAGTAAGATTTTGAGATCTATTTACACAGAGGAGTCTTACATGCGGGCTTGTACAGGCACGTGGCGCCATGCGGTATCCCTGGTTGCAGGTGGAGGGAGACCAAGATTCTTCGAATGCAGAATGCACACCCCCTCTGGGAATGAAAGAGACGATAATGGTGAATGCAGCTAACCAGCCTCTCGGGCGTCAGGCCATTAAACCTGGACCAAGTGGTCAGAGGATCCCATGCGGTGGTCCAGGCTTTCAACCCATTATTGTTGACCTATTGGACTCGGCTATGCAGCCAGAAATGTAAACGACTACGACATCCGCCCTGTAATATGACTACCCACTGTAACTTAGCTAAGACTGTCGTCCCTTAACTGTTACGCCAAAAGGCAGTGATACTGAAAGCTTATGTTTCAGTGTCGCAGACAGTATTCATGTAGATTATGGGAACTCTAGTAAGCCAGCATGCTTACACCCACATGATAAGAGAGTTCTATCACTTATAAACGACCTATGTTGCACACACCCTTGATGACACTGGCGCAAGTAGTGACAAAACAAGGGGAAAACACTCTGAACCCACGAAGCGGTCGGATAATCCTACCAGGAACCCCGTCTCGGCCCTACGCGCGTGAGAATTTTGTCAGAGTCAGTCCGGCTGCCTTGACGAGTACGAGATCGAGAGCCCGTAGCTGGAGAGTTGTGATCCAAAGATTGATTATTACTACTGAAGAGAGCTTCTTTACAAAACGTTCTGATCTACATGTACGGTGATAATGAGACAAACCGAGATGATACAATACACGATGCCAGAATTGATGCGATCCAACGTCTACCATGCAGTTCCAACAACTTCTGAACTGCATCGCATCAGTCCTGAACGACATCAAAAAGTATAATTCTCACCATTGATTATTCTCTCGTATCCACTGTCCCTCTTCCCAGAAAGAAATTAATGCCACGCTATCGTTCTTGATGTGAGAAGAGCACGACTTGAGCATTTCTTCGCTTTCTTCAGACCAGTGAAACCGATCGAGCCCCAGCATACCAATGTCGACCTCATCGCGATCAGACTTGGGAGTTTGCAATGATGACAGCTCGCTAAGAGACCCCTCGATATCGGAACGGGCGAGGCTCTTTGTGGATTTGACAGAACGGGCGGAGGATGCTCCGTCAAGGGGCCGGCATAGATGACGTAGCTCGAGTTGTGCATCCGGGCTAGAAGTTGGATCTAGAATTGGAGAAAGCCGATTTGAGGCATCTGTCATCAAGCAGTGAATTCGGACATCGTCGACCTTTCTCGTGGAAATAGCTATAGCATAGTTTTCCTTGTCACCGGTAGGTATATCTCCAACAGTCTTACGGTCAGACATGTCCTCTGGGAGCGCCATGATGCGTAAAGGTGATGCACTGGATGTGATCCCGCTACGTGACCTGATAGTAGATGAGCGCTTGTGCTTCGTCTTTCTCTTCATCTTTTGAACAGCAAAAACAAGGGGATCCGCAGGGTGCAAGACATGAGGAAGCGATTTGACAGTAGTAACAGAATCAGTAGTGCTGGGAGAGACGAGGGGACTAGTCTTGAGTTTTGAAGAGTTGCTAGACGACAGGGGGGTATTATTTGACAAATGAGCGGGCGCCTGATCGGTGATGGCAGAAAAGCTACCCATGCTGGCGGGTGGAGAAAACTCGAGAAGAGGCAAAAATTGAGGAATGCTTGTAGGGGGAGGTAGCGATGCAGGCAACTCAGCCGGAGATATACATGATGGCCGTTGGCTTAAAAGATTGTAGGATGGTAATGGGGGGAGAGGAGGGACAGGTTTCCTAGTTGATTTTGTTGAATGACGCCTAGACAGCTGCAGAGAATCGCGAGTTCCAGTAAGGGGTGATAAAACATAAGAAGAAGGCGGAAATGCAGACAAGAACGAGTACGGGACGGCAGTCACGTCAGAGGTCCCAACAAGCCTTAGAGACGGGCCAAGATCGACATTGGAGATCGTCCGACCACTTGGATACAAGTTACGAGCCCGGAGACTACCACGACTGGCATCGCATTTCTCGCAGAAGTCGCCGAGCTGTCCAGACATTGAGCTATCGACGAGTAGTGAATACCTCTGGGGAGCGATAGTGGCAGTTTTTCTCGACCGTGCTTTGATGGGATATGTGAGGACCCGGGTATTAGGCAAATGATGAGTCCTGAGCCTCCTTGTCGCGTCTTCTGTACTATGTTCACTGGAAAAACTGAAGAAAGACATGGAGCGCGAAAGCTGCGCATGGGACGGAGGTGCCTGAGAAGTTGAACTCTTGCTCGAATGATAAGCCGCAGAATAAGATTTTGAAGAACGTTGCTTGGACTGCCGATGTAGTTGATACATGAACGATGCAGTTCGGTGCTGCTTTGTCATGTTCACGTCGAAGTCGGATTCGATGTCGGTCTCCCATGCAGGAGATCCGAGACATCCAACGAAGATCGCAAGAGATGGTGTGCATTTAGAGCGAAATGCCTTCAGTTGAGTGGCTTTGAGAGAAAGCAGAGAAGCACGAGAGTTCAGTGAAACATCGTGAGGGGAAGTTGACTGGAGAATTCGAGAACGAATGGTACTAATCCGACGGTGTTTCACATAAATAAGCTTCACAGCAAGAAGAGCCAACAGAACTATGAAGGAGATGAGACATGCTGTAATCAGCGGTTCGGGAGTTGATGTTGATGAATTGATGTCATATGAGTCTGACCGGAGGACAATCGAGAAAGGCCGTGCAGATACAATATCAATGGTGCAGAAAATCAGCAGTGGGTAGAATGCCCGCAGAGGATATGCAAAGACTGCCATACGCAAAACAACGGCGGCGGAACGATTTCAAGTTTGCTCAAGAGAGTTGAACATATGAACTGACAATTTCATACTCCGCAGCCTAGGTGCGTTCGTAAACTTCATATACTATAGTTTCCGATTTGAACCTTGCAACACCTCAAACTCTGCACTGGATCCGGGACCGCTAACAAATTTGCAGGGAATCAACAGGAGATAAGCTTTTTAGACGACCAGGAACTACCACGCAATGCTCTGCAGCAATCAGGTGCTCGCTCTTTGAGCATTGTGACCACTGCTCGGTCGAATGAACCAAGTTCTACGAACAAGTACGAGTTGAGATTTTATCATACAAATGATTCGCCATACCGGGGTCGCTGGTGACGGCGACAGCAAAGTCGCCTACTATGCTGGATTCACGATAAGCTTTGAGTGTCTTTGGCCCATTGTTGTGGATGATGTTGTGTCAACAATATCTACATAGTATTCCGTGCTCTTTTGCGACACAAGCGCTGAGCCCTCACCATTCTTCAGTCGAGTATCCGACCGTATTGGTTGGAAACCCATTTGGCTTACTATTTGCGTTTGGTTTGCGTTGACAATTTTGGATTGTCGGTGCATGTCCATATTTTCGTTGGGCCCATCAAGCTTTTTAAGCGTCAAGGACTCCGATCATTAAGTGCCTGCCCTCGAATTATGTGCACAATACTAATTCTCTCATTTTCAGTTAAAAACGCGATACGCTACGTTGCATGAGGTATACATGAATAAGTTCTGCTTGTAAAAGTTATAAGTAAAGCCACTACGCGTCCAAAAATATTTTTGAGAAATACTTCTTCACGCCTTCTGCACCATGAACAATCGCCCCAACCACTCCATCCGGCCGAATCACAAACACCTTCGTCTCGTCAGCTTGCATGAGGTAAGCCGAATAAGCATAGCCCTCCCGATCAACAAGAACGAGGTCAGCAGGAGATGCGACAGACGTCACTGATGCTGATGATGGCACAACGACTGCCGATCGCACGACACTTTGGTTGTATGCTTCCAATGCACCCAAGATTGGGGTGGCATCAGCGAGACTCGGCGCAAATACAAGCATTGTATGGTACCAGGGTCTGTACAAACTAAAAAGTGTCGTCTCGTCAGGCTCGCACCCCAACTGCAGCATATTGGGCGCATCAGGCGCCCTGTCCCCAGCCTCCAGATGCCCCTCGTCAAGCACTCCGTATGCGTTGATAGGCCTCCCCTCGACTGAACTCACAAATTCATCGAGTACAATGGTGCTGAATCGACAGTTGATGCCGAGCATGTAAAGGATGGGACTTCGTCCGAGTGACAGGTCTCCAGATGATGTTGCCTTGTCGAGAATTGAGGTCGTCACCCTGAGCATCTCGGAGATCACAGGCAGGCGCTCGGCGCTGTATGTCTCGAGAAGAGATCTGTCAGCCAACCCTTTCTGAACGAGCGCAACTTTCCATCCTAGATTGAACTGGCGCGCGGTTAGTCATAACACACATGTTACATCCACCTAACTCACTGCATCTTGTACACCTGAATTGAGTCCCTGTTCATTGACAAATGAGCAGGTATCAGCAACAATCGGATCAACCATACCTGACCACCAGTTGGGCTGTGAACGCTTGGATATATGTTAGCAGCAGTTTGCGAAGAAGGCATTCAAAGATAGACATACTGTGCAGCATCTAGTACAACAACATGCATGAGCACGGCCACACACATCTCAAACAGAACCACTTACCGCCCGCAACAAACACTCGACCCTCGCTAAATTTATTCACCATCCGGATATTGGCCCTGGAACAAACAGATGAACATGCATCGACACATGCATCGACACAAAACGCACCGGAACTCGCTCATCCAAACCACCTTGTTGAATGTAATCTCCGTTGGTATTAACGACGCGATGGTCTCGAAAACAAGCTCTTCGCTCTGAGCAATCTTCGGTATGTCTAGTTCGTGGCCGTAGAGGAGGAATTGCCAGCCGTCTTCGCCAACTTCGTCTGTTGGACGCAATGTGACGCTGCATATCGTCAATATACACGTCTCCAAGCCTCAATTGAACATACCCTCGTTCATTAAAGTTTCCAATTCGGTGCCAATGCTTCAAGACTGCATTAGAACAGTTATCCATCAAATACGTAGAAAATGGACGTACCGCTCTATCCAAGCCAACGCCCTTCAAACGGATATCCCCGGTCACAATCCGGATATCGTCTCTAGTCTCGCCCAAAAATGCGAGCCCAAGTTGCTTGCGCACGACACCTGCAAAACTACCTTCAGTCTTGTTCATCCCGATGCATCTGACAGTGTCTCACTTTTAGCACCATCAGCGCCGATGATCCATTTGGTATCAAAAGTCTCTGATATGCCGTTCTTTGATAGAATACCGGTGACGCCCTCATCGGACTGCTCGAACGAGCGCAGTTCGGTGCCCATCTCGACAGAACAAGAGAACTTCTCTAGGTGGCGTCGCAGAATCACATCTAGGAGCTGTTGACCCATCAATTTGAGGCCGTGCTAAAAAACCGAATCAGCATGAAGGTTTGATCAAGCGACGATGTTTCCTACGAATGGTATTGCTGGAGTGGGTTCCATTTGCGGGGCTATCGATGAGTCTTTCAGAGGTTCCAACGTGCCGGGCTTGTATGAACGGGTGGGAGGGGCTGGTTTTCCCAGACCATTAACTTCTGAAACGTCCAGGAAGCTGTAGAGTTCAAGGGAGCGCGGCTACATAGATAATGCATTCAATGAGACCACGGGGCGATATTATAAGTGGATGTGTGACAAACCCATATTCCAGCACCACGCTGTCCGATGCGATGGTGGGGGTCTTTATCGATGATACGAACTGGGATACCATTTTGGAGAAGCGTCAACGCTGCTACCATACCCACTGGCCCAGCGCCCACCTAACAAGGAATTCAGCTGGGGTGCAAACATGTGTCATAGGCAGATCACTTACGACTAGCACGGGAGGATGAACAGAGTTCATATGTAGCGGTCACAAAGCTGGCAAGAGGATTAGCTGGTTTGAATTCCAAGGATTTGGATAACCACGAGGGAAGCAGTTCGTTAAAACATAGGAGTGAAGCCGATCAGAACGGCACTACGGTAATGATGTGGCTACTAGTATCCTTCAGTACTCAGTTGCTGACGTTATGCGTTACACATCCCATCAAATGATTTGTCAAAACGCTCACCAGATACTTCATAAGGCTGACTAGATGGTCCACTTGCCCAAGAGGTGTGCGTTCGCAAAATCCCGAACACAGTGCTCAACTTTAGATAAGCAAAAAAACCTTAATACATAGCCACATGAAGTTACGAGCGACACGTTTTGAGTTCCTCGCCAGCGGTCTCAAATCATCGTAAAATCGTTTGCCGAGTACCGTAAAGGGGGTGTTTTTACTACTGTAGAATAGATCTAGATAGTGATTTTAATGAAACACGAGCACGTAAAGACGGTACCTGCTAAATGTCAGATCTTGGATGTGATTTTCGAGAACACGTGAGTGATTAATATCAATACGACGCGTCAATATCGATTCGACGCGTCTCGTCAACGACTCGCATCTCTCTCTCTTAAACCTCATTCATTATGTATTCTACGACTCATCAATTTACACGTTACGACTCATGGTTTGCTTCAAGTAATAACGACAACAACACTGCATATATCACGGACTTCGAGGACGATTCCTATCAAACGACGCATTACGGATCAAATCATCATTCACATTATTCTAATACATCATCTGGACATTCGCAGACTCCGACTATAGATTTTGAAGTACCATCACACACGGACAATCATTTGCATGGCTCATCTCGTTGTATACTTGACTATACCTCATTTAATTCTCGCTCTCTGAGTCGACAATCCTCGACCGACAGCCAATCATCAAATACGTCTTCGGTTCCAGCCTCGGTCTCGGATATCGACATCGATATCGAGGCACAATTTAAACTCAATACGCCTGAGTCCCTGTATGTATTATTCAAGGCCAATCGGCTACAAGTATCGGATCAGTTCGGGGATCGATGGAGAATTCTTTGTCCTGAGTGCGGAGACTGGTGCCAGACCAGTGTCCACACAGGCCTACCTCTATGGGCACCCGGTCAGTTCAAGTCACTCACTAACCACCGAGGAAGCAAGAAGTGCGCAGTGACTGCTGCAAAAAAGCAAAATTCGACATCTCAAAAAGCCAGTACATCGGCTAATCAGGCTGGGCCTTCCCATGACAAAAGGTGCATTCATTTCGGTTGCATTTCTTTAGTAATACCAACTGATTGTTATCTCAATCACCTCGTTGTCAACAGCACCCATCAGACTATAATACGTTCTGTTAACCAGTACACTGTGTGTCCTGGAATTCCCATCAACTGGCCTGACGACCTCCACTCATTCTACATGTCCTTTCCTTGGGCACGATACCATGATGGACCAGACGGGCTCCCATTCACCGTTGACATCACAGTTCCCCGACTTCCGTGTGCTCGATCGAAATTGTGCACGCATCTCACTGTACGGGAAGATTACCCTTGTGAAGAGTGCGGTGAGATCTATGCGCATGTCTATCGTCTCATCGATATTGCGCGTAGTCCCAAGGCGCACACAAACTATCAGTATCTCGGTCTCGCACATATGCGAGATACTGTTAGAAAACACGCTGGTCAACTCAACCAATTGAAGCTGCAGGTAAGTTTTATTTACTATTCATCTGTATCAATGTAATTAATGCTCTATAGACCTGTAACGACTCGCGCAGATATATGAACGCCCTCACTCAACTCGACGATTACAACCGCCTCTTGATGGCTATCTCTGAAAACGACATCCCTCGCATTCATCAAGTGATCAACATTGCCTTACGAAACGGTGCCAGCATTAGAGAAGTTGTTAACAAGTTAGAGGATGCTCTTGAGGGTACGTACCTGGCCACGCGGATATGGTGCCGACGACTTCGATATCGCAACCCTGGTCTTTAGACTGGGGGGGTGTCAGTTGCTTTTTGCGCTGAATCAGAAACTCAACATCCCGTCCCTCCGCACTCTTCGTGCTAATTCGACATTCACCTCTCTCATGCCCACCATCGGTCCCATACGCAACGAACAATTTGACGAGAACATCCAAACAATTGTTGTCGACACTCGCTCAGATTCATTGCCGTTGCGGGGTGTCAGCTTTATGATCGATGAGATCGCACTCGAGGAGATGGCGGTTCATTTCCGTAAGTTCAACAAAGTCGGAGGTCTTTGTTGGAAGCACTCGCACATTATCGACCTGGTTCTACGTACATACGACTCTGCCGTGAGCATCGCGCAGAAGCTCCATGAAGGCCACGTCCATCTCGGAAAGGAGCTCACTGTCATCGGTGTCTCGTGCTTCGGCGAAGACGAGATTTACCCTATCCTAACAGCACCCACTTGCAAGACGGAGGACGCCTCAGACATGGAGCGCATCCTTGCGCAAACTGTTGAGCGTTGGAACTCGAGTAATGCGGTGACATCTGTCGGACCAGCCTGGTCTTTTGCGACAGATGGCGATGCAACTCGACGTGCCGCCGGACACAAACTTTTTGTCAAGACACCTTTACCTCCTGACTCACCTTTGTATGGCACGCTGATCAATATGCCGGGCCTCAATTTGTTCACAGGTGCGGGTGAAGTGATGCTTGATTTCGACTTCAAGCACATATTTAAGCGTATGTTTATGTTTTTTTTCTGTTGATGAATGCTACTAATTAAATATAAACCTAGGTATCTGCACACTCATCAGGTCACCTGCGGGCATTGTGCTCAATAATGGCCGTGTCATCAATTCCATGATGCTCGCGCGCTATCTTGTCTGGTTGCCAGCATACGAGGAAGCTGCGGTGACGAAACTCCTTTACCCTGATGACCCTCAAGACGTCCCTCGTGCAGTTGAGCTTATGCTCGCTATCATCGAATTCTCTCACACTCAGCTTCATGTCACCAATGACTCATTCTCCCTGGATATCGACACTCGCGCTGATGTCGCATCAATTCATCTACTCAGTAAACTCCTCGAGTCCATCCTGATCCCTTTCATCCGCGTCGATCTCTCTTTGGCCCAGCAATTCGAACACCTCAGTCGTTATTCACACCTTGCCTTCTCATTCTTCCATGCCCATCGCCGCTCATTCATGTCATATCAACTCTATTACGACACACAAACAATGGTCAAGAACGCTGTATTCTCCCTCGCGAAGCAACAGTCTCTGGACCAATACGCACCTTTTTTCCTCGGTGACGTTGGAGACGACCCCCTCGAGATTCTATTTGGGCGCACTCACATGATAGGTGGACACAATTCGGCTTGTTCCTATGCCCAGGCTCTCGACCGTCTCGCTGCTGCAAAAGATATCGACGGAGTATTCAAGCGTCATCCCGAGCTTGATCCAGGTCATCGGCGGTTGAAACTCACTCGTCACGAGGGAGTGGATCACATCAATCGCGAGATCTGGAAGGGTGATATAATCTCCGGTCGATGTGATCTTCCATTGTCATGGCGCAAAGGCCATGATGATGCACTTTCGATCCTTACAATGTCACAACTCGATCACACTCATTACGCATATTCAGCACTCTTCACTCCTACCTCTGGCATTGACATGCTTCGTCCTTTCGGACACAACAAGTATCTCGGAATCAGTAACACAGACGATGAACTCGGCGACCCAAGTCAAGTACCGAGACTTCCCCCTCCCATTCAAACATCACCTACAGCACAATTCTTAGAGACAGTGTTAGGTCAGGATGATGTCAAGAGCGCGGATCCTGGAGAGTTGCAGGGAGAGATTGACGACGAAGAAGCCATGCTGACATTTCAAGAGGCCTTAATCGATGACTCGCCTACTGATGCCCCGCCTGCTCAGTCCAATCAGCCTCTCGCTCTAGATCCACTGTCCCCTCCATTGCCGCAGGGCCCAGGCATCTCTCCTGATGACTACCTGTTGTATAACCGACGCTGGATTCACAAACAGACTGTCTGCCGTCTTGTCATCAACAAGGATTTCATTTCGAAATCGCTGAATCGACTCGAGCGTGTCCGTGCAGGCTATACGAAGGTCAACAAGCGTATTGACATGTCGGCAGGTCGAATTACTGAGCAGAACTTATTTCTCGTCGGAGATATCTTTCTTACCATCCTTCGTTCAGCTCAGACACTTTCCATTGGCATACTTCGTTCAACTACAGCAAGTCTCGACGGTATTTCGCGCTCATCTATCAATACAGGAGTTATGAAAGCACCGAGGACCACAGCGAAGATCACCGGCCAACTCCTCAGCATCGTTTCTACTCGTCCTTCACCTGACGTCTTGCAGGTGTTCTTATGGGATGGCGGATATGTGACAGCGCATTCACTCATTCAGGGTTCCGCACAATCCACAGATCGCGTCGTTGTGGTGACAGTCCCAGGTTCTCTGGTTGAGCCTGTCAACCCCGACCCTACGTTCATTCGACTTCGCAATGACATCAATGTGGACGAGTTCTTGCAAGTGAACGGGGGCCAGAGCACATGGCAAATCTCACGCGACGCCCTGCAAGTGGCTTGTGACTTGCTATGGGCGAAAGCTGTGGAGATGAATGTGCCGCTCAAGTCAATCGCAGTAGTCACTCCTTCCGACGAGACAAGATTTCCTTACAGACGCTCGGATGGTGAGTTTTTCGAGTTTGTATTGTAAATCTGTTTCTAATTCTACGTTTATATCTACAGGTACTCCCGCGGTGATATCCATGGAAGCAAGTAATCTGCTTGGAGCGTCTGCAGGGGATCGTATCTCCGTATGTCCCCTGTGCGAGTCGAGTGTACTGAACATGCGAAATCATATGGGTCAACACATCCTGTGCGCGCTGAGTAACACACCTGGAGGAGGTCATGTTGAAAGAGCAGGTATGTTTTTATTATTATTTCATTTGTACTTTACACTAAACACTGTCTACAAGGTCGGCAATACACTTCCATGCGGGTTTTGTGGGCATTCTGGGCAACCAGAGTGTGCCATTACTATCACCACACCTGCAAAGGGCGCAACAACCTGGGACACCAAATGTGCGTACCAGCACTCGTTCCGATACACGTCTGCCGATGTCGGCTCGAAGAATCAGCCATGCCGCAAAACGTCCCGCTGAAGTGCGAGCTCTGCTATCCTACTCTCCCTCCAGTCCCTGGCAGGAACACAAGGAAGACTTACAGTGTCCCGGTCAGTGCCGTGTGGCGCTACAACATGCACGAGCATGTCTTCCAAGAGCACAAGGAATACGCGGTCCCAGGACAGAGAGAGAATGGTGTACCGCTGCCCGCAAGCGTTTGGAAGGAGATGAGGCTCACAGACCTGGAGCAGACTGCTTCGCGCATCCCAAAGACTCATTGGCAACCCTCCTACATTCCTCCGGGCGAAATCGGCAAGGAGAATGTGCCTCTGTTAGTTTCTCGTGGATCCAAACGCGCTGGAGCACAAGCTGGTCCATCCCGTCCATCAAAGAAGGCCCGAACGACCGTTGGAACTGCTGTTTCTGTACTCAGTGCTTGATTTCTTACTTTACGAACCTATTCCAGTCGCCTACATACTCGTCTTCATCCATTATATCACTGCAGCTGTCTGTTTTGCTTTGCGAGAGTTGAATCGATCCGTTTTAACTTGTCATTTTGCGATGAACGACTACCTAATATGGCTAAATTACATGATCGGTCACGCTGTCATCACGCTGTCACGGTAGGTGTAGGGGGTACCCAAGTTACAACAGGTTAGTGTCTTGAACTACTCGATCCCACACCTCTTGCACTTGCTGTTTGTTTAGCTGACAAGCGAAATGTAAGCTAGCTGCTAGCGCGCGGTACCGGGTTTGGTTCTGAGCATCCCCCAACAAACTTGCAAGTGCCTGGTAATGAGCAATAAAAACAGATATCCCCTCGATGCATTTGATGATTGCTCGAGCACTGAGTCAGGCCTCAGGTAGAAGGGTTCTCATACTGAACCTGCCAATGTGAGCTGGAGACTCGGAGTCAGAAAGTCTGGGACCCTCGGAATTTCGACCCAAGGGTTCCATTCGCCCCACTAGGTACCAAACAATGCACAACAACAATTCTATTTTTTAATATGTATCTCTTCCACAATATATAATCTTATGATGACTTGGAGCGCGGCGTCCACCCGCGTGCGTCTCACGTGCGCTTACTTGACCAATTTCTACTACCACTACCATTCAGAAACCTACTAACATTACCATCATTAGCTTCGCTCCATCACTTACAACATTGCCGAGTCCTCATGCTCACGAAATAAAACTCCACTTTACTTCATTTGGTTGCGAGCACATCATCAATTCCTTATAAGCTGACCCTTTCATCTGCGTCATCTTGCTGTTTGAACACCGCAGCTCCAAAACATGTCGACGTCATTTACGCACAACGAAAAATATAAATTCTGAGTCGTTCTTCATCAGTTTTCCCACGCATCATTTGTGTTTTACGACTTGATCTATTATGCCCGGTTCATCCATGAATCCGTCTTGATGATATTTCACACAGTCGTATACTACAGTGCTGACACTGTAAAAGAAGATGATCAGCTCATAGCAGATCACCCTGAAGCGACACCTGATTTTCTCGCAATTCTCTCACAAAATGGAATTCCAAAGCACGAACTTTATCTCAAGCAGGGCTGTATTTGCTCACTTAGGCGCAATATGTCTGTTCAGAAGGAACTGGTGAAGAATGCACGCCTCATCATACAACAATTGCACCGCCGTTATGTCAAGGTTCGAGTCATCAACAACAGGACAGGTCAACTTGGAGATACTCAATACATCCCCCGCATCCACTTCGAATTCACACCCCCACGCGTAAGTTAGACTGTTCATCGTCTACAATTTCCCCTCCGTCTTGCATATGCAACGACTTTCAATGGTTGCCAAGGTCTAACCCTTGACAAGACCGTTCTCAACCTTCGCTGCGAAGTCTTCGCACACGGTCAACTGTACACAGCCCTTTCACGGATCCGTCAACGAGACGATTCACGCATCCTATTTTCAGAAGACAAACCAAATGACGATTTCAATACGTCCAACGTCGTGTATAAAGAATTGTTATTAGATTTGAACTAGATCCATCCAACGAGCCGCGCAGCGGCAAGCACTTGTAATATATTAATCACATGTACATGACATAATATGCTGACCGCTTCAATGAGATTCCAATCACAATCTTTAGATAAGCCACACGCTGCACATCACTCTTGTCTTCAACCATCACCATCAACTGTAATGAATGTTCCACCCACTTGCTTACTACCTCCCAAAGGCCTACATCATTGCCCACCACCAGCTAGGCAACACTTGGTATGTTTGTTGAATTAGTGTGTACCATGTCTTTTTCTGTGATATCATTGGTTCAACATGAAGCTCAACCTTATAGCATCTTGGGCATGTAACACATTTACCTATGATTCACCAGGACAGCAAATCCAGCAATTTCTACTCTTTGGTATGTACTCCCTGCAATAGGACTTCATGTAGGTGTCTCTCCTTGCTTCATAGTTGCAGCATATCTCATGTAGTCCCTGAGCAGTTCTATGTGACTTATTTACTGCGCTCTCTCATGCATACAAAGTCCTGATGTCTGACATCCCACCAACTACACCGTTTCTCAAGCCTGAATGGGTGTCTATTTGCCATGAATGTGGTGACTCACTGGAGTGGCGTGTGGTTAATTCGAGCAAGAATGACAACTGTGGGTGGTGGTATGCTATGGTAAGGGCTTTCATTTCATTAATAGGAAGCCACCTGCTAAATGCTGATTGCATTAGTGCTCTAAGATGACAGCTGCAGGAAAACCCGAGTTCTTTTGATGGGGGTCTCTGAAGTCCTCACCGAACCAATCTCCACCTAACTTATCACCGATGTTGCATTCCGGCTCATTGCCACCCATGGCAGGTGCAAGTCTCATTCCTGAGTCTCATGCACATCAGAAAATTCACACATTCCTTATTTTGCCCTTAAACAGACTTATTCACACTTAACCACCTTGTTGAAAGTGGATCTACTTGTCTGAAATTTCAACTTGAATGTATTAAGAAAAAAAATGTTGAGATGTATTAATGGACATATTTTATTATGTTCCACATTAAAAAAATATCAGATATGCCAGGTAAATGATGTGAGAGAGAGAAAACAAGTTTTGAGATAAGTGAGATAAGCTGATTAAGGATGTTAAGGAATGTGTGAATTACTGATGCATCTCATGCTCAGGACGCCAGCTCTGATATTCATCATTGTGCTGTCCTTGGCTGCAAGTCAAGCCGTGTTGCTTTCAGTTGTGAGCATGAATGCTGCCGCAAACATTGTCTTGCTTTTGGTGGGTGCCACCTGTTAAGACTGTACTCAAGTAGTATCGGATCCGAAGGGCTTCGGCCTCAGCTCGTGCGCTGTGCCCCTTTCCCGAGTCTTGCCCCTTATTTCAGAGAGCTAAAGTATCGCGTCTAGTGAGACGGATAAGTATTGTAACGGATAAGTCTTGTATCACAACGGATAAGTATTGCAACGGATCCGTTAAGACTTCCGGATATCGAACGTATAAAGTAACGGCTAATCCGGATCGGATCCGGACTAGAAACTAACGGGTGAGGACTGTCCGAAGACAGAGGCGGATATGTAGACTATAGGAATCTATCCTAAGTCTCGGAGTAGACAAGAGTAGCGTACTCAAGTCCGGATGGATAACGGAGGGACTTAGAGTCCAGACGGAATGAGTGCAATCTAAGATGATATTCGAACTGATCTACTACAGCGCATATACAAAGGTTTATATACTATGGATAGCTAACGGAATGATCAATAAGCAAAGGTGCGAGGCTATGTACGAAAGTATAAGCAAAGTCTAAGTGGAGCGTATTGGTAAGTCGGATGGATCACGAATCATGAACCGGGAATGAAGTACAAGTAAAAGCGGATTCGTAAGTGTAGCGGATCAGTAAGCAAAGCGGAAGTAAAGGATAACCGGTATACCAGTGTACAGGAATACCGAAAGGAGATGAACGATAGTTAGAGTTATATGAACAGGAAATGAAATAAGAATCAAAGCGGATCTGTGGACCGGACGACGGATATGTTCATCGGATCTGGATCGGATCTGAGATCCAGATCATCGGATCTGTAACCGGATATATGGTATATGACAGTATCCCCCCCTTAGGGCCGATCCCTAGAGGCACAAGAATCAGCGATCCGGAACGGATGATATGAGTGCGAGACAATGGAGAAGCTGATGGGAGAAGTTGCTGAGTTCGGATTATGACAGATATACGGATGCCAAAGCGTCGCAGGGTGTTCCTTCCTTTCCCTACTTTTTCACTACCACTAGCTTATCTCAACCATGACTGATAACGGATCCGGCTCTAAGAAGACCGCTAAGCAGACTCTGGCGGATATCCAGGCCGCGCTGGCTGCTGCTGAGGCCGAGGTTCGGAAGGAGGAAGAGGCTGAAAAGCTGAAGCAACAAGCGGAAGAGGCGGAACGGAAGCGCTTGGCAGGGATTAAGAAGATTGAACGGGCTGAGGTCCAAAGGGAAGCGGAGGAGGCTAGGCGCAGGGCTATAGTAGCGGAAATGGTGCGTTATGACTTGTTCTATCGGATCCGTCCCTTATCGGATCCGTAGTCTCGCGCTATCTCAGCAGATAGGGATGGGGCTTGTACCCGCTGCGCTAAGAAGGGTCGGGCCTGTCTGTGGTCCGATGCGGATAGCAATTCCTTGGCAAGTCGTCCTTGAATCTTCGGATCCGTGACTCTTAACGCTCGGATAGATCAAGGCTTGTAACGCGTGCCGGAAGGACAAGGCTCCTTGTCCCGGACGACCTGGAACCGTTACAGATTCCAAGTCTAAGAAGAGGCAGCGCGCTGCTGAGAACCCATCTCCGAGAGGCAAGGGTAAGAAGCGCCAGCAGAGTCCGACTCCGGATCCGGATATGAAGACGGTAGTAGCGGATGAGGTGGAAGTGGAGTATGATGATCAGGCCTGGGTCGCGGCCGCTAATAGCATTGTAGCGGAACTGGCTCGGACCAACAGATTGCTCCAGCAGAGCATCGGAGTGGCGGAAGGGAGTAGGACTGCTATAGAGTGGATGAATACTAACTTGGAGGCGTTTTTGGAGCAGCAGAGGGAGTTCCAGACCATCCTTCTTGAGGGGATCCAGAATGGAATCTGGATTACAGAGGCGGCTTGTTCTGAGGCCACTGACAAGGACGCTGATGAATCCGGATCGGGTGGGGACATGGAGATGGATGGCTGAGGATTTTCGGATCTGCCTTCTCTGCTACTAGTGTACTTGTATATCCGCTTTGTGTATTCATTGTATAGCAATAGGACCGGGTTTGTCTGGATATGCAGTGTGGAAATCCGAGACTAGATCGGACGCGTTTCCGAGTTCCATGGCTAGTAGCCATGAAGTCTCTTCGTCTGTTCCTTTGTATCCGGACCATCGGACGAGGTATAAGAGTTGGCATTGTCTTCTACGACGGTCCAGCTTAGAGTCTAGGA